AATGCAGTATTGGCGGCTGGCTGTCTTCCAAAACCACGATAGACCTGACCCCGCGCAGAAGAAAAGACACACAGGCAAGACCGCATGCATTATTGGGGCCTGGCAAAATGCCCTCGCACAGCCTGCTTTCGTGCATGTCTATTGGGTTGTCTGTGTTTCGTTACAACGTGCAAGCAGGTTAAAACCAAATCCAAAAATAGAAATAGATTGGTTTTTTGCGACCAACCACGATCCCACATGCAATTCGGAGCATGCCAAATACATTTCCCCAAATGCCCTGAGAATCCGCACACGTTTTCTCGATGTTTTCCATGGTTCGCACTTGTGTCTTTGCCAGGAAAAACACCCGGGGTCCGCGTAGGTCCACGCCCGGAGTTCTGACCCCCCAAAACCTGTGTGCTGGTAATGTAATCGTGGCCCCATACCCATCCCCTGAATGCTCTGACCAAAGAGCTCGCGCCGGGTTATGGAGCCACGATTACGTTCCCAGCACAAGTTTTCAGGCGGTTTTTGACACGGTCTTTTCGCACAAAAACAGACCAACTTGGACACTCGCCCCTGTATCTTGTCCAGCATCATCCTTACATCAGCCAGCACACCGTAAGAACTTCTGAGCATTGAGCCTACATCCTTCATTGGCCCAGGCAAGCAAAACTTTCACTTTGGAGGAGGGTTTTTCAGGTTGCCTTCGCTCCAGTTTCGGCTAGCTCCTTGGAACTATCCACGGAGCTACACTTTACGGCTTGCGGTACAGGGTTCCTTTTTGCCCTTTTCTTTTCAGGGGTTTGGCGCTTCGTAAAGATCATCCCCGACCTTGAGCTGCTTTGAAGAACTGCTTCCAGCCCGAAACCTGGCAACATTTGCCTGGCCTTCTCCAGGGCGTTCATGCGCTCGCAAAGCTTTGCATGTTCCTCCTCCAGCTTATCACCTGATAACTATGTCAATTATCGTCGGTACATCAGGTTTGCGGCTTGCTTGGGGCAAAGGTGCAAGCGAGCACAGGGGGCATTCTTCGGGGTTGAGGTTTTACGTTTTAGGGACACTGAAGCTTCTGGCATGCCCTCCCAGCCCGGATGGAAACAAAGGGGCGCTGAAAACCCTTGCATTCATGTTGCAAAACCCCAAAGCCGGTGCATATTGTCTGGAGATGTGCAAGTGCACGTTTAATTCCGCTCACGTCCCACAGCCCGTAGCCTCCTTCAGCCACCCAGCTCCAGAGACCCGCCAGGGGAGTCGGGGACGCCAACCGTCTCATTCGCTCCACTTCTTCGCCAGTCCTCAGCTCCTCGCACTTTCGGCTTGCCATCAGAGCCGACCTGGTGCACCGCAAAGGCAAATGAACATGGCACATCCCCATCTGGCGCAGGCAACAAGCGAGATGTGTGCTGGAATCCCGTCAGAGCCACAGTCTCCTTGCACCAATGTTCGGGGGCCGCAAAAGGGCCCTCCATGCGCCCAAGCTTCACGTCCGCTGCGATTTCTGCCGCCATGGTCTCCCAAGGTTTGGTATCGATTTGAAAACGGTAAAACCACACTTTGCGATGGCTGCGAACCCAAATCGTTGTACATCAGGGCTTCGAGGCATTTAGTAGGCTGCTGCGGGGTTTGCTGATTCAGGTTCTTGGTTTTTGGGATTCTTGGTGTCATACTTTGCGGGTTCTCATTGAGGATTTTGTGCTTGCGATGCCTTGGTTCGGGTCGAGGGCTTTGCGGGAGTAACTAGTTTGGGGCTTCTGATTGAGCGTGCAGGGTGTGTGGGTTTAGGGTTGAGAGGTGAAGGTTGAGGATTTCGTGATTTAGGATTAAAGGATGCAGGGTTGTTGGTCTTAGGGTTGCAGAGTTAGGGTTGCAAGGCCCAGGTTGAAGGTCCAAGTATGAATGGATGGAGTCGCAGGGTCGTTCTTACCCCCCCCCCCCAACCGCCACGCCTAGCGTCTTGTCCGAAGGCGTTCGTGGCGTAACCAGCAATCCGCCGACCCCAGCAACAGGGGGCAGCGTATGGCAGCGTCAGTGAAGATCCATCCCCACCCCGACCCCAACCTCCCCTTGGATGACCCCCTGCACCTTGCCTGAGCACACAAAGCGACAGAGAAGCAATCACAGCCGCTTCATTGGCGGCTTCCATCAAGGACTCTGTGAGTCCCCCCCCCCCCCCCCCCCCCCCCCCCCCGTCAGCCCCCCCCCCCCCCACCCCCTCCCCCCCGTTTTAGGGGCAGTGCATCGCCCCCCCTTCCTGCACACCCCTCCAGCCTGCCCGGCACGTGAATGCAGTGTTTCAAGTTTAAGGGTCAAACCCCTCTGCACTCTGCACCCTCCTCCGCCGCCCTGCACCCCCCCCCCCCCTCCCCCCCCCTGACTGGTCTTTTGGGGGGTCGGCTGACAAATCCGTACGCCCGCGACCTCACACCAGAGAAACCAATGGCTCTAAATTCTGGTTCTAGGCGCCCTACTCCCGCGCGGCCGCCGCCTCCGCCCGGGTCCAGTTCCTTGGGTGCAAGGCTGTGGAGGAAGCAGCATGCGCTGAAAATCCTAGCAATCCCACTTCAAGCACATGCACCAACGTGCCACCACCACCACCGCCTCCACAACGGGTTCGCTGCCAACATAAACGACGCCGACTTCTAGAGCTACACATTCTGCCACTGCCAGACGCTCCCGTTGCCACCCCAGTAAATGAGGAGAGCGCAGCTCGCGGTGGATTGCGAGAAATTGGGCAGCCTGGCTAGGCTCCAGCGAGGAACGAAATTTCACTTACCAACCTCCCGGCGCGCCAAAATCGAGCTTCCTGACACCTTGCCCTACACAGCATCACACCCTGAAAACAAAGCCATGCTCTAAAACAGTAGACGGCGCCTGTCGGTTCAGGGATCCTGGCAGAATCGCGAATCTCATGAATATGTCCAGCGCTACAGCCAAGTGCGGACTAACTGAAGCCTTCTAAAGACTTCTGCGTCCGGGCAATCGGAATCGCAGTGATGGGAACATCCAGCCGGAGATTAGCACAAATCTCATAGACTTCGTATTGCTGCAGACCCACAACAAGACGACAGGCCTTCCAAGCGAAGCATTTGCGATCCCTGCACCAAGATTGCTTGTCACAGGGTCGGGGAAACACTAGTGATGAGTACTGATGAGTACTCTCCAGAAGTTACGTGACCACGCTCGACCGCACAGGAAAACTCAACATGAACAAGGGGCTATACCAAGGGTGAAGAACTGAGCCACTCCCGGCCCGATAAAAACCCATGATCGTAGGGCTCTAGCGCAGATAACAGACCGTTACTTGAGCCAAGTAGTGACACATCATGGGTGACAAAACAGTGCCAACACACATCACAGGGACAGGCGCCAGATAGAAATCGTGACTCCACCCTGACTGGATAACCGCGGAAGAAAATCCGGGCTGGTAAGATCCATTACGGGTTTGTTACGTTTTGCAAATTATCTTCGGGCTGGTAAGGTTGCAAGCAACACTCTGCAATGCCTTACGGTGAAGACTGGAAGTCCGACGCATCAAGACTGCTTGCCCTCCATCCACCCAAGGCCTGAGCGCTCTGGCCGACGACCTGGCTCAGCCAAGCGCGCACTCCATAATTATGGACATCATTCTCTGCCCGGCTTAGTCTTAGATGCTAACCAAGAGCAACCGCACACAGTAAGCGAAGACGCACCAGCAACCAAAACATCTACATACACATCATGCAGTAAGCGATGATGCACCAAGAAGCACACAAATGCACATAGTTTGTGACGACGCGCCAATAAGCAGAACAGGTAGGCGTTTCTTTCGCCGCCGTGGAAGGGTTGTCTTATTTGGAAAAACGTGGGGATTTGGCAACACACATGTCCGGGAAAAGTTCGTCCTTTGTGTTTGGCGTCCGGCCTGGTCGTGCGAAAAGTGCCGTAAATACCGAGAGTTTCCCTTCAAAAGCACCGAAAACGCTGTAAATACCGAGGAGTCCGAAGCAGCACGCCTCGCCCTGGAAAGAGAAACGGCGAAAAATTGCAACACAAATCGTGTACGGCGTGTAAAAACACAACCATCCAAAAGTGCCGAAAGCATTGCACATACACAGGTTTCGGGCAGTTTCGGGAAACACACGGAGCCCCCCCCCCCCCCCCAGCAAGAGGGCAGAACTCGACAACGTTTCCACAACTGCATATAGATCATATGAATCATATAGAAAGCGAAGACACACTAATAAGCAAACAGCCGCACATAGCAAGCGAAGGCGCACCACAAAACAAAATCTCACAGAACAAAACGTGCTTTCGGGGGCCTAAGCCCCAGGCCAAAACCTCAACAATCACAAAGTGCTACAAGTACTTGCCACCGCAAACATTGGGGCTAGGCACACAATGTAGCTGTCATTCAGAAAAGAAAAGCTACAAAGCCCAGAAGACCTGAACGATTCCAAACATGTTGAGCGGTCGGCCTGAAGATCGGCGGCCTCCTCTGACCCAGCCATGGCGACGGGGCGGCGAAGCTGGCTATGGGAGAGTATAGGTGTAGGTTGAAGACTGGTTGAAGGATTGTGGGGATATTGGATTCGGGGTGACGGGGCTCAGAGCCCCGTCTTCGCCTCTGAAACAAGGGCTTTCGAAGCCTGCGACCAACTCCTGCCCCCTACAGAAGCCGAAGTCCGAGCACCGGAGCAAAATCTGTTAAAACAGCCCGAAGCGGGGCTGCAACACTTCAATGATGAACATCAACTATCGCTTTGATTGTTTTTTCTACCGATAGTTACTGAATTCGGCAAGGTTCTGCTTCAAGATTTGGGAGACGCGCTTCATGGCAGAGTCTCAAAAGTTAAATCTGGGCAACAAGGCGCCGATATCAAAGCTGGCTAATGCACTTAACGGCAGCCTCCAAAAACTTGACTGCTCCTAGGCGGTCTTGCGAATTAAGTTCGCCTGGCCGTGCGGCAAAACGTGCAAGAGTTGCAGGATGCAGGGTACGGCAACCCGCACAACCAGCTCAAAATCATTGAAAGGCCAGGTCACTTGCTCTTGTCGACTTGCGCCATGCCTGCCATGCCAGCTTCGAAGATGAGAAGAAAAGCGAGGCAGCAGAGCAACTGCATGCCGGCGTTGAAGTCTTGCCCCCGCTCTCCTCCAGCCTCGATGATGCTCCTGGCTCCCACGGCACCCAGGCCCAGGAAGGCATTGATGAGCATGTCCATGATCAAAGCAATGGAGCTTGCCTCAAAAAATGAGTTGGAGCCTCCGTGAGGCACAAATCGCATCATCAACCCCTGCGTGAGTCCTTCGCTCAGGTAGATGCATGGGAAGATGATCATGTCCCCAAGGACCAGCGCGTAGCCGCCAGGAATCAGCCCACTCGCCGCACGCAGGAGCAACAGGGTGCCCAGGGACGCAAAGATGGTGAGCAGGCGGATCCAAGCCACCTCGCTTAAGCGGCTTCCCAAGGTAAGTTGCGCCAACCGGACGGGGAGACCCATCAAGAACGCCAGGCCTGTGATGAAACCAGTGGAAGCAATACTCCAAGCAAAGCGGTCTTCCAATAGCAGCGGGGTACCCACCTCCACGGATCCTGCCACGAAGCTCCGCAAGGCGCACAGGACCAAGCCGGCGAGAATCACCAGCTTCTTGGAAAGAGGCACAGGGGTACTTTCTGCTTCCTGGTCTGATGCGATCTGGATGTCTTTGCTGCTGATGAAAGATGGGTAGAAGAGCATGACCACGCACAAGCCGGAAGAGAGTAGAATCAACTGGACGATCCCCACCGTTTTGAACTGATAAGGGGGATTAGGCACGGAACTCTGGCACACATCGATTTTGTAGCTGGCCGCAGCGGCCAAGGGACCCAGCCCCGTCCCCACAGTGACGTAGAAAACGGCTCTCTGAAACTCTGAGGGCAGGTCCTCTGCCGGCGTGAGCTTGGCCAAGAGAACAATAACCAGCTGGGTCACCATCCCATTCCCTACTCCGATCACAGCACGGCTCACACAGAGTAAGATGGCAAGCTTCAAGTTCTCTTCACTTCCAACATGTCCTACCTGCGACAGCGTCACAAGGCAGAGTGCAGAGCCAACCGACATGACCCCAAGGCCACACATCATCGCCTGGCGACTGCTGGTCCGCCAAAAGTCAGGCCAGTAGTGCAGCGGGAAGGCGCAGATCAGGTTTCCAATCATGTCGCCCCACTTGGAGATTCCTAAGTAAAGGCCTGACCAGGAAGCCCCCTGGCCAAGCGCAAGAGACAGGGCGTGCGAGTCTGGAACGCTGATCATGCGAGACGTCGCAGCCAGAACCGTAATCAACATGAACAGATCCACGATGCATCGACCCGAGGACACCGATCTCGAATGCACCCCGAACAGGGCAGTCACGATCGAGGTGATGCAGCCTATTGCCAGGGCAGGCAGTAGTCCCACCTCAAAGGGACAAGAGGCAACCTCCGTGAACGTGGTGATCTCCGTGCCCACCTGTAGCTGCAAGAAGGTTGCTTGTAATGCTTCGGCCTCAGCTTCGACGGTTTCGGGGGTCCCGGTTGCCACAGGGAGCCGCAGGACCAACTCGTCGGCGCTCTCGACGACTTCCACCAACTCGTCCCAGCGCCCAACTTTAAGAAACCGCGCGGCCGCCATGTTGTCCAAAAACTTGAGGAGAGGCGTCCAGAAGCTGTTGGTGTTGAGAAGGAAGACAGGCTTGCTGTGCGTGCCAAGATGCGCCAGAACAACGGCATCGGCCAGCTCATCCAGAGTTCCCAGGCCGCCAGGGAGTGCCACGAGGAAGTCGGCCAAGTCGACCATGGTCTGCTTGCGCTCATGCATGGTTTTTGTAAAAATCATGTGGGACAGGTCCTTGTGCTCATGCTCTGCAGTCAGCAGGTTGCCAGCAGGGCGAACCCCAATCACGTAGCCTCCCTCTCGCAGCACTGCATCTGCCACGGCACCCATCAAGCCTGCATTCCCTCCGCCATAAAGTAGTCCGATGCCTTTCTGAGCCAAGAGACGCCCAAAGCGTTCTGCAGATGCGCGGTAGGCGCCGTCCGAGCCGTAGCTGGCACCCATGTAGACGGTGCACCAGCGTGTTACGGGAAAGGACCATGGCCCGACTCTGGGAACAGCGGGACCGACGTCCTCCAGACAGCTGAAGGTTGAGGGTTTGGGGCTTCGGGTTCAGGATGTAGGGCTTAGGGGTAGAAAGTACGGTAAGCTTTCCTCTCCAACATCATACTATACCATGCCATACCAAACTATACTATATCACACCATACCATCCCAATACATTATCTGATGATGCGCGCACAACACGCACCAAGCGGAAACGCATGTAGGTCCTGCAGAATGAACCGACGGACGTAAGGATACAACAGGCGATTTTTGCTGTTTATTGATGCCAGTGGAGGGCCACGCTAACAAGGGTGAGGGCACAAGCAACAGGACTATCAAAATTAACGAAGCTGCTTGAATGGTTGTTCATTCAAGTGTTCATTCATGAGCTTGGTCATTCATCTGTCATTTCATGTGCTCGCTCACGCGTATATGACATTTTCTTTGCATACCGACTCATGTAGATGTAGCAAGTTTTGTATATGTGTGTGAATTGACGTCAGACGAACCTACGTGTAGGCCCCCAGCGTGCGTCTGCAGCACTTGGTGCTTCAATGAGGCCTTCAGTGCGTCCATCAGGGTTTTACAGCACAGCGTCGAGCGTTTTGCTTGCACAAGACATATGTTAGATGATGTTAGGTTCAGATTGCACCGAGGTCTTCCGTCCCTGCCCCACGTCAGCAGAGTGCGCTCCGTCCCCGAGCCGGTGGGTTTCGGGACACTTCTTCCAACAACAAGGCCATGAAACCTGGATTCAGGTAAAAAAAGTGACGCAACTGCCTTTCATGACATGTACCATTTATACACACAAACTTGACTACACGGGCTGCCAAAGGGTTCAGAATCGCAGAGGGAAAGCAGCATGACATGACATGGCAAGAACTGTATGAACTGACCACATTCTCCTGCCGGGAGCGTCGCAGCTCGTCGCGCAGCGCCTGGCAGGACACGTTCTGCTCCTCGAGGAGCTTCAGGGGTATTGCATCCAGCCAAGCGAGAGCTGCGTCAGCTGATGGATCGCCTTGGGAGGCCACGAGCTCCGGGAAAGTAAAAGGGGCCGACGGACCTGATCCATCTTTGCAATCCTGGCAAGGAACGCAAGATACCCTGGTAGGCAATGGCGAAGACGAGGAATGTGCCAGCCCAGAGATGTCTGAAGGTTTCCAGAACTGCGCGTCCATGTATTTGAGAAACGCCGTCATAAATTGGAAACGATTGCCTCCCAACTGCAAAACCTTCTTGCCGGCAGAAACCGTTGCGTGCAAGTAGGCCATGATGTCAAAGGCGTGGGAGGAATGCGGCAGCCCTGTGCGGACTAGGAAGCGGTGGAGAGCATCAACCTGTGCAGGGAACTATAGAAAGCCTTAAGACATCTTCACGTCCCGTAGCTTCATAGATGCACGTCGTATACTTCTGTACATAAACATAGGCGTACACGATATGTACCTAGTACGTATGTGTGCATGTATGCATGCATGCATGTGTATGTCTGTATGTACATATGAGCGGCGACCAAAAGCTCATCATTTAACGGGCGGGCATCTGGCCCAAAAGTTATCGTAATCGGGAGTTTGCGTTATCGTGGGATATCGTGGGCCAGTGTTTCGGGCACTCAGTCTTGCCTAGCATATGATAACCGGGTCATGTGTAACAGCAATTGCGGCCCGTTGCTGGCCCCTGTGGCTGGCGTCTGCGGCCATGTGCGAATAATTGCGAATGGCTCAAGAACCTCTGTTTTCGTCAAAATCCTTGTCGGAACGTTCTCGGACAGGACTTTTCAGACATGGCTCTCCTGCAACCCACCATCTCGAGACATCGCCAGTCACGAGACTTGCTTCATCCGTGGTCTCATCAATGACTTAACTTGCTCTTGCCTCTGACTCAGCAATACCTTCCAATTCCGTCGAGATCCTGTGCTCAATTAGATGCATATCAGCAATCTGGTTTTTGTTGCTTTGAGGTTGTTGGCGAAAGAGTTCTGTCTGAAGTCAAGGTCGGAATGCCTCTACTTCAGGGCACACCCGGAGATTGTTCGAAAGATTGAACATGAGATGAATCAGTCTGCAAACTGTTTGCTTGTGCCGGTGTTTCGGACTCAGCAACATGATGGTCGCGTGTTATGCCGCGCCAATCGTGCGATGTTGCCAATGGTTCATGGACGACTGACATACTCATGCCCTACCTCAACATGACGAATGTGCGGGTGGTTTTGGGCCCGGCTCATATTATGTGTGCATACCTATAAAGGTATTTCCAAAAGTAGGGGGTGCCCTTAATATGTCCCAAACAGAGTAGAATCCCCTTAAAGGGGGCCCCAGAACTCCCGGAAAGGGTACCCCTATTTTCGGAAACCCCCATATGTGTATACACACGTGTTCATGTCTACGTAACTGTCTGTCTCCTGCAAGCGCCTGCCCAGTGGCCACCACTCCAAGGCCCAGAGGGTCTCTACTGGGCACCGCATGGGGGAACCTGAGCATATCCTGGGCTCTTGCAAGGGGGCTACATGAAGTTGCCAGAATATTATGACTATTACTTTGATGATTATTCTTGCTATCATTCTGACTATTGCTATTACCATTACTAACGAGTAGGCTTATACAGTAAAAATTGGGCTTCCTCATTGTGCGATTTCCCTTTATTAAACAAAACATAACATGAGCCCAGTGTCGATGCCGTGGCCTTCCTTCAAGGGGAAGCCCAGAAAGGACATGGGACCCATGGTCAGGTTCAAATGGCGCAAGGAATTCACGGCTAGGATGGTCGAATCCGGGAACTGCGCCTTCAATGCTTCCATGGCCAGGCCTAGAAATTGGCGGCCTGAAAGCGCGCCCTCCAAAATTGCGCCTCGCTCGTCGACTTCATGGTTCCAGATGCCTGCAAAGCTGTTGAGGAAAACTGCCCAGCTATTTTACTATGACACAAGCAGTCATGTTCAGTGTGCGCTCCCCCCCCCCCCCCCCCCCCCGAACAGTCGAAGCTGGGTTTCGCTCTGTTTTCACGGTCCACGGGTTTTTATGTTTTTTATAGAGAGGAGTTTATATAAGTTCAAAAGGGGCAGCGATGCCCATCAATTGGTTGTAAAGGGGCGGAGTTTTCTTACGACACCCAGACGATTTGACTTTAAAGAGGGACCTGGTCTGTACCCCCAAACAGTCGGTGTGTCCTGACTAGCCCAGCCAATCTGACTTTATTCAGGGGGCCCCCACTAGAACAGGTACAGTAGAACATTATCACTGTGAACCTCTTCAGCAAAAGTTACACTTCCAGAATTGAGTTCAAGACTCCCACCAGCAGTATGACACTTGGATGCGGCAAGCCAATTCTGGCGTTCCACATGTCATAGGCCTGCAACAAATTCCAACCTTCTTCGACAGTGACGCCGCGATCTTTCAAATATCGAATGTTGTGCCGAACTTGGCGCTCGTAGGCCGGCAGAGTTGGTGAGTCATCAGCTTCGAGATGGGATCCCCGCATGAATCGCACGTCTGTGGCAACTAGACGTGCTGTGAAATCGCGTTGATTTGCAGCAGTGGCTTGGAACAGCCATGGAAGCAGCAGGAAGATCCTCATCATGTGGGTCTACAACGTGCTACTGAAAAAGCGAACGTCCTTAGACGTGGACACGTAAACGCTGGCGTGAAGCTGAAGCGGGAAAGTGAATCTGCACATGCGTACAAGTCTCATGCGTATGACACCGACACATGATCTGTGTCTGTACATGCAATGTAGTATGATGTAGTATAGAAATATGTACGGTTTATCTCCAAAGCCCCACATGGCCTCGGAGCATCTAAGCTCAACATGGCCTCGGAGCATCTGAGCCAAAACCCTGCCATGGACCGGCACATGCTCTCGCAGGCATCAAGAGGAGTCACGTGCATGTGGGAGTTTCCACTACTGAGGGACTGGGGACCCCACATCCTTCGCCACTTCTGGGCTATGGCACCAACCAACCCCACCGCCATACAACAACTACCCCAGGAAAATGTCTTATCCCAATTTCCCCATCCTACTTGGGTGCCCTAGCTCAAAAACAGCGCGCTGCCACACTCTGAATCAAGCTGCAACAGAAAGAAAAACAAAACAATGCAACAACAAATGCACAACTGCAGCAATAGTAAACAGCGACATCCTTTGTCCTCACCCTCATCCTCCGCACCGTCTTTGATGTCATTACCGTCATCATTAGCGTCGCCGCATGACCCCATCAGCCCAAAGCCTACAAACGAACCCTACTAAGCTTACTCACTGCACCAGCTCCAACAACCCTACCAACACTGCCAACCGCGCGCAGCCCACTACAACCTACTGCCTTCTTATGGCCATGACTCTGGCCTGACTCGGTCAAGAAGACAGAGCTCTGGAGCGCTGTCTTGAATCGTTACAGTGACTTTGGAGGGGGGGGGGGCCAAGGAGGCACAGAACCTTGCAGAAGAGGCTGCAATTGTACGCAAGTGGATCAAGGCGAAGCGATTTTCTGAACGCGAGCTCTCAGTCTGTGAACCAGGCTCAGGACGGAAGCTCCTGCTCCTGGTCGATTGGAGTCTTGCCTGACGTTTCTTAGATCTTCAGAAGCTTCAGAAGCATCGCTTTGGTTTTGAACCCCGCCGAGCGGGGACGAGGCGCTGGCACACTGGACATGAGTTGTCAGTGGCAAGCCATTGATCGACACACCTGAAGGATCAGAGTCAGGTCTTGCAACGCTGAAAGCAACCTTTGTCAAGATGTCATTGGCATGTACATTGGCCTCTGGTGATAGAAGTGCAGACATGGAAGCCTTGACAGCTTCGGAAATTGGGACTGCCCATCAATACCGGGATGCTGTCATGTGACGGGCACATGCTGACGCAGCAAAGGCACGTCTTGACCTCATCTCCATCCGTGAACTCTTCCAGGCACACCAGGCACCTGGCCGGCGTGCATGCCTGTCATGAAGCCTTCTTCTGATATGCGGTTTCAAGATGCTTGGGGCAGAATTTGTCATAGCGACGCCCTTCATGTCTTGATCAGCTTGTCAGTGTTACGGGGCTCTGCAGCTGTTGCTCGGCACCCTAGCCTACCATGCGATTTTGCGGTTTCTCGAGCACTGATGACATGAAAAAATGGGCACTTGGTCTGGTCGCCCAGGTGCTCCAGGTTTTGTAAAGTGCGCCTTCAGACTTGTGGAGAATTCCAAGACTTCAAGGCGTAGGCATGCGTGATTGACAAGCCAGGGCAAGAACGTAGGCAGTGCGGCAACATCTGTACCTGTCAGTGCACGCGCATCATGCGCGGCCGCCCGATTCAGTCTTCCCTCTTCACAGAATGGCATTCAGCCAAGACTCGTCTGGCTGGATTGGACTTATCTGCCTGCGCAGCTTTGCATGCGAGATTAGATATTCATCTGCGCAGATGACTGTGCAACCAAGAAGCATCTGCTGCAGCCATAAGCGCAGCAAGAAGTGCCTGTCGCAAAGGCAATGTGCAGGCTAACTGGCGAAGAGAACACCTAGGTAATGACAAGCATTCCGGACATTTCCGGACAGAAAGTTTCTGAAAGCCCCTTCTTACATAAGTGAGGCGGCGGTGCCAATGGAACTGCTTGCCGCTGGCCATCCACTGGAATTCGGACTGCAGCATGCAATAACTTGACATATTTTGGGTGGCGGCGGGGAGCTAATCCTTCGAGAAGGCTTCTCGTCAAGGCTCGCACCCATTGGACCATGCATGCCTTGCATCAGCTGGCGGTCATTGAAAATCCTTAGATGTGCAGAGGGATGTGTAGAGCTTTCGGTGCCTATTTTTTAATATGCGGACATTTAAATAAATAAAACAAATATTTTATACTACCTCCGTGAGGGGTTGGGTGGGGCCGCCCCTTTTTTAAACACCCGGAAACCATCACCATTAAAATTACCCCCGTGGAAACAGGGTCGTCCACGACGTCGGCTGCCTGCTGTCGGTTGAAGGTGTTGTTGTGGGTTGGGGTTTGGGCTTAGACTTTTGTAATGGCTTGGAGGCTTTCAGCCCTGGGACATTGTCCTAGGCTGTTTTCTGGCTTCTTCCCACGCCTGAAAGGCCCCAAGCCCCAGAAACCTAGGACATTGTCCTAGGGTGTTCTCCGGCTTCTTCCCACCCCTGAACGGCCCCAAGCCCACAGAAACCTAGGACATTGTCCTAGGGTGTTTTCTGGCTTCTTCCCACCCCTGAAAGGCCCCAAGCCCCAGAAACCTAGGACATTGTCCTAGGGTGTTTTCTGGCTTCTTCCCACCTGCAAGGCCCCAAGCCCACAGAAACCTAGGACATTGTCCTAGGGCGTTTTCTGGCTTCCCAAGCCACCGAAACCTAGGACATTGTCCTAGGGTGTTTTCTGAAAGGCCCCAAGCCCACAGAAACCTAGGACATTGTCCTGGGGTGTTTTCTGCCTTCTTCCCACCCCTGAAAGAGCAACCTAGGACATTGTCCTAGGGTGTTTTCTGGCTTCTTCCCACCCCTGAAAGGCCCCAAGCGCAACCTAGGACATTGTCCTAGGGTGTTTTCTGGCTTCTTCCCACCCCTGAAAGGCCCCCAGAAACCTAGGACATTGTCCTAGGGTGTTTTCTGGCTTCTTCCCACCCCTGAAAGGCCCCAAGCACCAGAAACCTAGTACATTGTCCTAGGGTGTTTTCTGGTTTCTTCCCACCCCTGAAAGGCCCCAAGCACCAGAAACCTAGGACATTGTCCTACGGTGTTTTCTGGCTTCTTCCCACCCCTGAAAGGCCCCAAGCCCACAGAAACCTAGGACATTGTCCTAGGGTGTTTTCTGGCTTCTTCCCACCCCTGAAAGGCCCCAAGCCCACAGAAACCTAGGACATTGTCCTAGGGTGTTTTCTGGCTTCTTCCCACCCCTGACCTAGGACTTTCTGGCTTCCCACGGCCCTGAAAAGCCTGCAAAAGCCCAGAAACCCCAAAGGCCCCCCGAGAGCCCCTCGAGTATTTTTCTATCCAAACCACTGAAAAGCACCAAAACCAATTCCAGGCGTCGGCGAGTTGCCCCAAGTGCCAGGGCAAAGCAAGGGCAGTTAGATTATACATTTAAACACACGGAAATTTAAATAGATATTTTATACTACCTCTGTGGCTTGTGGCCCGGGCCCGCCCTCCACATGTGTAAAAACAGTCACCGTTCATGCGAATGCAACGTGACAGTGGCGCACAGAGTCTGGGGGGGCAGCGCTTCGAGTAAGTGTCGCTGATTCTCATTTCGTTGTGCACCGTGAAGCGCGCCTGCACCCCATAAGGACAAAGCAAACTGGATCTTCGCCGACCCTTCCGGGGTGATGAGTTAGATCTTCGAGTTTAGGCGGGATACGGAATGGCACCTTAGCACCCTACACCCTCAAAGAAACCCTCTGGCTCAAAGGATCGCAAACTGGCTGAAGCCACTTAAGGCGCTTTCGAATTGCCCTTCCTTACAAAAAAGGTCCTTGAAGATTTCCGAAAATGGGGTAGCCTTGCTGGGGGTTCCTATCGTTAGGATTATCGCGTTTGGGGACATATTTAATGTGGCCCCTACTTTGGGAAACCCCGAGATGTCACAAGAGATGGAGCTGGCATGGAAGTGGTGTTGGCAAAGGAGGGTGGAAACTGGCAAGTAATCGCATGCACAGGCAAGCGACCGACAGAGCCGTTCGAAAGTATTTGGTAGTCAAAGCATTGAAATATGGACTTGGACTCAACCAGTCAACAACAGCCCTTTTGTCGGCTGATTCTGGGCCAACATTAACTTTGTGACTTTTCTTCGCCTGACTTGAGACAGATTGGATTAACTCAGGTGAAAACTATGCAAGAAAAACTAGGCGCTTCAAGCCACATCAAGTAAGTAGCTTATGCCAATTCCCAATCAGCCTCGTGCACGCCGTTCACGTACACAACGCCCGCGCACGCACGCCCCAAGGCGCTGCAAAGGTGACTTCACAAGCCAGCGGGTGATGCGCATGAGCTGCAAAGCTTCCCCCCGCAATTGCGCAGATCTCCCGCCAAAACTCTGTGGTTGGGGAATACTTTGGGAATACTGCGTGAAATGTCAAACCGCGTGCTTGCAGGAGCAATAACCCTCCGCTGGGCGACAGCCCTTGAAAATCGGAGAAGAACATCCGATATGACTCACAGCAAGCTGTAGCTGCGCAGCACTTGCAACTGACTGGCCTCTCGCACGCCGTGGTTCAATCTGCAAGGTGTTGCATGGAATTGCAGCGATGCATGACGTGGAACATATCTGCTGAACTGCTCTTCACGCTCTTCACTAGTACTTCAAAGTCTTGAGAGGTCATGTTGCCCCGGCCTCTGCCACATTGCCGCAATTGCCACAGCTGACTCTCTGTGGTTGACCAGCAGCGGAAGCAGGAAAGCTGTTCAGCGTACCTTTACAACATGCTTCAATCGTGTTGCAAACTGTAGATCAAACACTAGCTCTAAAATGTCCGATCGAAACCTCGTCCGGTGAGTGCACTACTGCGTCTTGTGTCTTGAGTTAAGGCTTAGTGAAGGCCCATTCTGTCAACACATCCGCAGCATGAAGCCTACGATCGTAAGGTGGTGGCCACACCGCCGGCAGAACTGCAATGCCGAGCGTTCCCGCACGGCCCGCAGCAAGCCACTCTCAGCTGCGGGCCTGTGGTGCACTTGCAGCGTAGCTTGATGCTTCCGTCGGGGATTGCGAAAGCGTCATGTTGGGGAACGTCCCTCTCTGGCGGCATTCATTGTGTCAAGGTAACTGGAACGGGAATGTTACGCGGGAGTGTGCCATAATGCATTGCTGACATGTCTATAACTGCTGAGTGCCAAGCTGTTGGGGAAGAGCTGCCTGCAACCACAGCGCGCAAGTAATTGAAGCAGACAACTTTGTCAGACCGAGCCGAAACAACTGAAACCACAAAAACCCAACCCGACTACAGGAAACTTAATGGAACAGAACTATTGCAATGCGTCCACTGATACAGAGCTGAACTTGGCGCCTGGAACTGTTCGTTGCCTGCTGCGTCACCGATGCCATTGCAATAATCAGGGTCATAACAGTACTAAACGTCATATAATAATACTGGCAGTCATAATATAGCAGCAATATAACAGCATTAGCATAATAACAAGAAGCATAATCATCATAATGATCGTTCTCATGCCGACTTCGTGGACCGAGGTCGCCACAGCGATTGCATCGAATGAGCAGCTGTCCGGTCCCCTGAGGAGGTGGTCGGAACCTGGGCCCGGCAGGGGTATAAGCGCATGTGTACAGTACTATATAGTCACATATGGATTGAATGTACATACATAATCACACACACACACACACACATATATATATATATGTATATGTATATGTATATGCTTATGCATCCGTATAAATCTGTGTATATGTATACACACATGCTATATGTTGTGTGGGTGCGCGCGTGCGAATAACAGCCCGCTCCCCTCTTGAATCTATGCTTCTTGGCAGTCTTATCACATTGTGTTTGATGGCTCTAACTAGATGTGCCATAAATTCGCACACCCGCCGCCTAATCATGCCTAATCAGTCGTCCGCGGCTCTTCGGCGGGCCCAAAAGCTTGGAGGGCCAAGAGCGACTGGACAGCTTCAATTTCTTTACGAAGAAGACTGGCCCGGAAGGTCTCAGGGCCAAGTGGGTTCCCCGCACTGTAAGAAGATGATTTTTTCGAATGTCCGGGGATGTCTTGGCCATAATGTCTTCGCCACTCTGCACTCACCTCGGCCAGTTCGCTTCACGCCAATCCAGGCCAGGCTCAATCGCGCTTACGGATTTCCGAGACTGTCTTGCGGCCTGTGGCCCGAGGAATCTCAGAACCTCCAGCGATCTCTCCCTACAGGCTCACTTCAGGCTGCCCCGCAACCTCTTCTCCTGACTCGCAGCTGACCAGCGGTTGGAAGCTTATGTTGGCGCCCGAAGTTGGTTCTTTCTCTGGGATGCTGTTGCAAGGAAGCTGCCCCCCAAAACTTGGGACTTTTCGTTTTTTGCTTGGGACCTGAGGCTTCAAGGCGGGCCTTGGCGCGTTCAATGACTCGACATGACATCTCGCATCGTCTCGCTCCTTGCCTCTGCTCCCGCAGGCCTGAGGTCTAATCTAAGGGCATGACTGCTGAGGCTCACCACACGTTGGGCAAACTGCACGCAAAGTTACTGCCTGGGTCGGCAGCAGTTCAAGGCACTCATGCCAAGGGCGTTAAATGTCGCTCCAGACCCGGGCTGCAGAGGCGTCAGGAAAAAGCCGGCGTGCGGAACTTCCACTGGAGGATGGACCTGCACAATGGAAGCTGTGATGCATCCCGTATGCAGCCTCCCCCACATGCCGCAAAGTCATGTTTCGAGTGAGGAACCTCTAGCACCAGCAAGGGCTCTACCGGATATTGGGCAAAGGTACACCGTGGGTGTCTGCATGAGTCATCGCAAATCCTTGGATTACCCGATTTCGAGACTACTTCGTGTCTCGGTTCGACAAAAGACAGAGTGGGGAGGGGGGGGGGGTGGCCCACACCACCCCAAAAGCTCATTGAAATCGATTAAACCTATTTATACGAATCCTAGATTTATTAAATCCTCTTAAAACGATTCAGAACCCTATTGGAAGCGACACGAATCTTCTTCAAATTCGTACGAAGAAAAAGAAACACGAGTCTCTTTAAAGGTAAGGTTTAAGGTTTAGGGGGACGGGGTAGGGGTAGTGGGGGGTGCGGGGAGGGCGGGGCAGGTCACAGAGCGCAGGGGGAGGGCGAGTGCGGGGGAGGTGAGGTAGGGAGGGAGGGGGGGGGGGGTGCACTCCCCCGCCTTGCAAGAAGTATCCCGATTTGTCGGGGTGGTCTGGGTTCAGCAGCAGTTGAGTTCTCGCATCGCCTACAACTAATTAACTAGTTACGAACTCGGCAAGATACGGCTGCTGCTCAATTGGTGCCCCTCTTGTCATTTGCTCCATGCTGCCCAAACTCCACAGCCTCCGATTGCTGAATCTCTGCTAACAAGCAGACCAGGATCTGATCTCCCCCGCGACCCCCGTGGACCTTTCTGGGAACTCCCCGGACCAAGCCATAGGACAGGATGTTTGTAACCATGTTTTCCTGCAGCTCGTTTTCGCCTTTTGCTGTTTGATTGCTGGCTTATTTCCTAGCAGCAAAGCAGCAGCGAGGGACGCGCGCGAAAGCGCTGACAATGAAGGGTCCCGGCCCATGTCTGCTATATACCTTTACCAGGTCACGAGATGGCTTGCGCCTGCCAGTCCGAACGAGGCCATCTCCTGCAGCAGGCTGCCATGCGCATGCAGGGCCGAAGTCACCTCTTAATGACTGACATCAAGTGCGAGAACGAGCCGGCAGATGTCAACTTGAGACGTGCTGATGTATTCTGGTACCCGTTCTGTCCTCCAACATTAGTCTTCGCGCCAAGGCTTCGTCTTCAAGCTCCTGGCGATGCAACCAACGGGTCTTACTAACTCTGGGAGATTGTCGAAGCTGCGCGAAGTAATGCTGCATCGGCGCGCGAGTCGTTGTCTACAGTCGGGTTGCTTTCTCGTGCCTGTGTTTTACATGGTTTTAACCAAGCCACAGTGTTCAAACCCTATGTTTAGACGCTTGAAACAAACAATTTTTGCACATCCTGGAGGCCAGGTGTTTGAACCTTCCTGTTTACATGCTTGAGCAAGGAAATCCAAGTGTAACCCGCACTCTGCAACCGCACCTCCAGCGCAGGAACTCAGGACTCCAAGTCTAAGGCGTTTAAACAAATCCGGCATAAATGCGGGAGCCCCAAACATGCTTAAACCGGCTCATGCTTAAACGGCTTCAACCCTTCACCATATTCAGCCCATCCCCAGGTTCCGCATGTGTGAAGAAAGCTCCTGTCTTCTTCTGGCAGCAGCATCATCGCTTCCAGCACCTGAGGTTCGGCAAAAACGCTACAGATGTTCTCAATGTCAAATACTGTGATATGTGCTCCGAGACTTTGAGGGCAGAACCTTGCAACCCAGCCTGGACACACAAAGTTGTACGGGCGCTGGGCAAGAGTGCGAGTGAAAGATGCAGCCCTCTGCCACTGTCCCAGCATCTTGACACTGTGGCGCAATGCACATTCGCATGCAAGACAAGCGCACTTAAACCCTAAACCCTAAACCATTTGCAACTTTGTAAGATGCAGCTCCCTTGGCCCTCGGAGCCTCCTGAAAGTTTGCAGGCCTCGCTGCAGAGGATGAGCTCCCCATCACCTTGGCGAGCCCAAACGAGGTCCAAACCCTTTTTTTACATGCTGGATTGAAGCTACTATCACTCATGTGGTCCCAGATTGATGGCTTGAGGGGCTCACCCGCAACTTCGCCTCAATCTCACCCTGACACTACCTATGATTGCGTATAGTCTTCGTGTGCTACTGAGGCCTACTTTTCAAGGTTTAGGGCCTTCTTTGAGCGCTTTCCGGGCTTCCCAATGGAGTCGAAGTTGGGAAGAAGCGACCCGTTGGGGGGGGGGGGGTTTGAAATTCGAAAGCACCGATTTAGGGTTCATAGGGAGACTTGAAGCCATTGGAATCCAGCTCTTTCCATGGTCCGGGACCTATTTGAAGTCTGCTGGTAAACCAAGTGAAGGCTTGTTTACCTTCAAGCCCACGTCACAGCTGTCAAGATATGGTGTGCTGAAGTCCTATCCTGGAGTCTGAGCAAGGCACGCGGTGACAGCACGCCGTGAGCGAGCACTGCTATTCACATGTATGAGTCGTACCAGCGTGTGATGGCTTGGTACAAGTAAGCTCTTCTTGCGGACACTGCAACGATGAGCGACATGTGCGACAAGGTCTGACTACCAATGACAAGGCAAGCAGGACACCTGCAACGCAGTGTGACCCTAAAGAGCAAATTCTGACAGTGGGCAAGCGCGGCAGGACTGTTGCATCCATCGAGCATGCTAAGCCCAGCTGCACTCGCTTGTCATGTCAGGAGGCCGTGTTACCACAACGAACCCCAACGAGCCTGGAACTGTGGGCAAGTCGTCTGCTTGAAAACGGCGTGAGCGCTGTTTTCTCCACAAGAATCTCTCTCCCCGGGATTCCACATCTCCCCTCTGAGAAACACTTGCAGTGACCCCAGCCAGCAGACTCGACAAGTTGCATCTCACTTATGCCTGGAATGCTCAGTGTTTCCGAGACAGCAACGATTCACTGCTGTAGAGATGAGAATGCCGGCTTCGCCAACTAATTAGGTGCGCACGGGGCGTAGCCACGAAATCATCGAGCGCTTGGCGCGAGATGAGTTCAGAGAGCCCCAGGTTAATTAATAAGGAAAGACAATAAAAGCTATTCAAGCACCCCGCTCCCTGCACTCAGCGGAGGCGGCATCCTTGTCAGCCAAGAACTTACCAAACAAGGCGAATCTCTCTAACAGTCGCGACATGTCAGCTGCGCCGTGGCCTGCCGCCTTTCACGTCAACGCTGACCTGGGGCTTAGGCGAGATTGCATCAGAAAGGTGCCTTCCGTTTCTTTGTCTCTAGTGGAGCTTCTGTGTAGCTGCCAAAGAAGTCTGTAGGGAGCGGGCGCAGCCCGTTAGCTCAGCTTCCCCGCGCGCTTCGCGAACTCGGGTTCCGTTGATGACGAGTTGCTGGCCTGGTTCCAGGAGCTGTCAGGCTCAATAGAATCTCAATAGATCTCCAAATTTCCGAAATGGCCCGAAGCTGCCGTGAAGTATCTCAACATATCTCAACTATGTCACTGTGCGTCCACAAGCACTGGGAACCAAGATCTCAGCCTTGCAAATCGGCTCCAAACTTCTCGGCCTCACATCTCTCGCAACCGACAGGCAAACAGAACCATCACTCATCATCACTCCACCATCTCCACCCCACACTCGCTTCGAGGCTGCCTGCGCGTCCCAAAGGCGCCAAACATAAGCCAGATTCGATGAGGGGCACTGAAGCCTTTCTCCAGTCAGCGAGTTGACCCGAAGCGCTTGCACAACATCGCACCGCAAGAAAGATTCCCAGAGGTGGACTGTATGGTTCTGGTGGCTGCGAACTCACCAGGCTGCAAGGCCAGCCTGTGACTACATTTGTTTTTGGTCTCTGTCTGTTTCAGCTCCGGGCATGTCTGGGCATGCTGCTCTTGACGCTCCAGCTTTCCCACGCGCCCAGCCACAGCCTCTCACAAGCAGCCATGACTCTAATCGAGCTGCGGGGCTTGACAGGTGCCTGCACCGAGACAACGGCTTTGGCTTCGCCTCTTTTGACCTCTGAGTATAGTGCTGCCAGGTGCCTTCCCTGGTTGTTCAACAGCATGCTAGCTTGTCATAGCTTGTCAGGTGATACCAAGGTAGCTCTCCCGACAGAACAGGCCTTGGCCAAGTGAGCTTTCAAGTCTTGCAGCCTTAGGACCGCTTCGGCTTCGAGGGACCTGATGCTGCCCCACAAGGTGGTTGTCGCAGTTCACATCACGTGTATGTCTGGTGTGATACCGATTCTGAGGTCCATGCATTGCAGCAGTGGCCACTACTTTAATGCTCACCCCAGAATGAACATCTTTGAAGCGCAGCACCTGACGTGTTACTCTGGTTATACCGCAGCGCATAGACGGGAAACCTATGAAAACCTGCCTCCTCGTCGTTCTCTCGAGTGGAGGTGAAACCTTGAAGGCGAACGCGGCCACCGCGCTGCAGACCCAGACCTCAAGGGGAGGAGTCCCGCTGGCCGTTCAGCCGGTGCATGACGGCTAAATCTCTGAGGTAAGTTCTTCGATGAAATGCGCGGGCTGCAGCGCCATTGAAGATAACCTTCACTCAGCCCGAAACCATAGCCAGGTCGCCGGCCGCACTGATGCAAAGCTTGGCACTAAACCCCTACAACCTTCATCCTAAACTCATCATCCGGACATGCAACCGCTTTACTCTTCGCGCCCCGACAACTACGGTACACTGAGCACCGCTTGTAGGTAAGCCCCCGCGACTTGGGTGAATTCAAAGATGAACCGTGAGCATTCTGCATGCTTTGGGCGGAGCACTTGGACAAAATGACCTGGATTCGATGGGCCAGCGAGTGCTTCGCCTTCGCTTTAACCTCGGCCTTGGCCTTTCCCCTTCACCTTCGCAAGCGGCGCCGTTGCATGGCCTTGCCGGCACGCGAAGAACTTTCTTCTTCTCAAGGGGCGCAACGAGCTCCTCCTCCCAGGAACCCTCGCAGCAGAAGTCTTCTCGGCTTCGAGGACGAGGGCTCAAAGCGGCGGCGCGACGTGAAACCCGGGGTCTGAAACCGCCACAAGGCCCGAGATCCCTTGCGACCTTGTCGGGGGTCGCCGTCGCTGGGAAACAAAAGCCGCAAAAACGTGAATTTTTGCAGGGGGGGCTGAGGCAAGGCCGCCTGTCAGTCTGGAGCATAGTGGCCTAGCCTAGTGTGATATTCCCCTGGAAGGAGCTTCATGGACCTGGTGAGATCTTGCGAGGCCTGGGCACTGCACGCTGGAGGGCCGCTTTGCGCAGCGGCTTGGCCGCAGTCTGTAGCAAGCATCGTCGCACTTGCATTTGCTGGGAGCCTCTCTGCTTTTTGTTGCATCCCTTCAACAGCGAAGGCGATCGAGGGCTGTGGCTACTAAAGAACAAAATGATCCGAGCAACAACGGTTCCTGTCTTCGCAGGCTGCTATGGCATTTTCTTGGGTGCTGGCTGTAGAACTTAGCTTAAATGCAGGTTGTAGCGCAGGGAACTCAAAATGCTCACTTTAGTGTGCTCGGCTGCTGGCGCGCTTCACGTTGCCGGAGGTCGTTTTCAACTGCACCTTCGGCCCAACGAGGCGTTACATGCGAGTGGTACCACAAGCCGAACGTACTGAGAAGTTTGTTCACTCTTGAGTCAAGACATGTAAGAAGAGGCAGAGGGAGCAGAGGCCTGAAATGCCTTGACGCGCCGGGTCGCAGTCTCTTCCTGGGGCGTTGAACCCTCCCTGTGACATCCTAGACATCCTGTGATGTCCTGACACCATCGTTGTCCATGACTAGTACGCTCCACCTGATGGACCCACGACCTGGCCTCGTCTGTGCGCTCTTCTACCGTCCCCTGTCTGGAAAGGATGCAGCTCAACTGCTCAAATGAGGCATACAGATGCAGGGCAGGACGGCAGTGCATGGGGAAGCAAAGGGATGACAAGGGTTTGTAAGGCTGGATGTTGCTGTGATCTCGAGTGCCGCTGTCTGCCACTTGTGCCTCGACGGTGTCCTTGCTCTTGGACGAGCGCGCGTTCAGGGCAAACTGACAAGCTTGTGAAGCACTCAAAGCATACGGAGGACTTACAGGCAATGTATCTTGGGCTGCACCTGGCGCAGGAGCTGGTCCCGAGCTAGACGCTGGCCCGTCCTCAAACCACAACGAGCACTGATGGATTGCGGAGTCGCATCTACCACACTCGTGGCTAAGCCTCAACCTCGTCATTCGTCAGTACACTTTGCAGCATCCAAAGAACGCCCTCTGAGTACACAGCGACTGCACCTGGCGCTTCTTTTTCGACTTTGGCGGGTCCAGCTGCATTTGCTCTCCTGGGAGCGATGTCAGACAATGTCAGTTTTCGTGAAATTCGGATCTCAGCTAACTCGGGGAACATTGGGCGTCCTTCTGCCACGGCCGGCTTCTCTCGAGCATTTGGAATCCCCAACGCGTCCAAGATGTTGTACCTGCTCAGCAGCTCGCAAAGGTAACCTCCCCTCTGCTCGAAGCATCATGGCCTAAGTGCTCGCTCGACTGAGACTGAACTCTTTCAACCGGACATTGCCAGCACGTGGGGTCACTGGCGCTGTTTGGAGCATTCGGCTGGGTGTTCGATGGCTTCTGCTCCCGTGGAGGCCGGCGGCTGTCCAACCTGGCACAGGTGTGGTGAGGTGCGTGATGCTTGTGTGACATGGGCTTAGGGTGGCACAGGGGCGCTGCTTTTATTCGGAGCAATTGCAGCAGCCGACGGACCTGACCCCTGTGCAGGATTTGGAGTAGTCCAAGAGTCCGAGCCCTAAGATATCCGGAGAAGGAGCTGCAGCGTTGCTAGGATTTCAATGCACACTTCTTGCAGTTGGCAGACCACACCATGGAAGCACGAAGATGCGAGCTGACAGTCATAGCCGACCCTATCTTCCACGCATGCAAAGCACTTGCCAAGTTGAGATCGTGTCCATGAAGGGATTGGCGGCTCTCCGGCTCCCGTCCACAGTAGAAGCTGGCTCCGGGGCAGCAGACTTAGCAAATCCAGCAGCGGCGCTGGGTCACGAAGTGCGAGCCGTGCGTTGGCTGCAACCACGAGCTCTTGGTTTTCTGCACAGCCTTCACAGGCCTGCAGCATTAACTGGACGTCGTCTGCAGTGTAGGCATCTCCGAATGCCCGTGACACGCGCCAGCCGAGGCTCAAAGCGATTCCTGGACAGTGCTGGCGCACGGCGGCAAAGAAGGCCGCCGCCGGGATCGGGCATGCCTCGGAGCGCCGATTGGGACCTGGCAGAATGTCGGCATTGATCCAGACGACCTGCTGGTTCTGAAGGAGACGAGACTTGACAGCCGCCACCTGTGGCAAGCACAGCTGCAAGGATCGTAGGTCTTTGAAGTCCAGCTTGATGTGATGTCTAGCTGCGTCGACACAATGGTGAAGGAACTCTTGAAAGGACAAATCGGATCTTCTCGATGGCGGATGGGCCATGATGGCAATCTCAGAGCCGCTTGGACTGGGACCCACCATGAAACCCATCAAGATGTCCGCTTCTATAGCTGTTAGGCTGGGCTTGCCCAAGGCAGATTGAAGTTGTGCCCTGCTGCAGCAGGAGTGCTCCCAGGTCTGATGAGGCGAGGGCAATGGAACCCATGGCGCTTCACGCGAATCGTGGTGCGCCATCCTGGCTGCGACTGCCTATGACATTCTCTTCAAGCTTAGATGAGACGAAGGACATGGGGGGGGGGGGGGGGGGGGGGTACATGGGTGGGTGGGGATGGGGGTGGGGGTGGCATGGGTGAGGGTGAGGGAGGACTGGGCAAGTAGGGATGCCATGTTGGAAGGCGCAGGAAGGCAACTTTAGTGTTATGTTCCAGTTCATAGCCTCCTAGCGAAATTGTTCTTTGCAGCATCTTGGTTGTGGAGTCTAAGACGTGAATAGGCCGAGTGCGTGCAAACAAGCACTACTTGGCAACCTGAAGGCGGCCAATCGGTAACCGGCCGCGTCTAAACAGCAAGGTCAGCGTAAACACGGAGTAATCACAGGCGCTTGTTGAACGGCATTCAACAGCCCGGCAGCGCCTCAAACCCGCCTCTAGCACGCACCGTGCTCTTCATCGCACTCTCTGTGCAGTCCTGCTGCACATGCGTGACGAGCAGGGATGAGCAGGGTGCAGGGCAGGGTAGCATAGGTTTGACGGCGATATACGGTATCTCTTTCGAACAGCTTCAGATCTAGCACACCTGAGGTATCCTGAGGTTCCAGCTGCAGGATGTGCATTCAATGAACATGTTGGTGCCATCCTCGGGCGCTTTGTGCCTGTCGTCACTGTCATGTTCACAGATGCAGCCCCTTCTTCTTCGAAGCGTATGCAAACTCCACCCCGTTGGCGGCCTCCTTTGTTCCGATACCCAGCTGCAACCTTCCAGGCCTTTTAGCAGCGAGCTCTTGCCAGCCAAAGTGCATCAACCAACGTGCTTCTGTGCGATGAATCGCTGTCTCATCAGCCTTCGTGCGCGTGCCCTCTGGAAGCTTTGCTCTGAGGCCTGTGACGAGTCTTGGGATGGCATGCGATGTATCTGTTTTGTATGCTGGTACATGCAAGCATGTGTGAATGCTAAAACTTTCAAACTCGTTGCTGCACTTGTGCTCAGCCTGTCAACATTGCCGGTGATGCTTGTGAGCAGAGGATCGGGTCCTGGCAGGATGTTGGTTCCCAAATTCTTCCGAGATGTTCCGAGTCTTCCCCCAATCTAAGTCGTCAACTCAGGGGGTGTCCACGGGTCTCCTCCGGCAACTCGGCGCCCCACTCAGCAGGGCGCTTGACAGGCTTCAGGGCCTTGAACCCGACCTGCATGGAAACAAGTAACGAGGGCCTAGCTCCCGCGCCAGAAGCCCCGCACTAGCCAGGCGGTCTTCATGCGATCAGATTTGAGAATGATGGTCGTTGTGGTCGAATTAGTTGTAGCATGACTTTGTTCTTTCCAATTGTGGCAGCGCTGCATATAGTTCCCTGCCGATACTCACAAACGACCTCGAACCCGGCACAAACCACACGTCTCTTTATATGAAACAGTACAACACCACCTAGCGCTACTAAGATTGAATTTGCGTGGATTCCCGTTGCCGTGCCTGGCCTCCTGGGCCCATGGCGGATCCCAGAGATGTTGCATATCCTACTGTTTTGGCAGTCGTGCTCTCATAAGGCAGAGCCCCGCACCTGCTTTCTTAGAGAATAACTACACTGTCGCCCCATTGCAATGGATTCCTAGATTCCAAGAAACTCGAAGGCGTCGTGCAAGTTGAATGCTAGCTGATATGTCGGAGTGGGAACCGAAACGAAAGTAAAGGCTCAAGCACAGCATCGTTGAACGTTGTCTCCCTCATGGATGACCACGTTTAATCCCCAATGGTCACCACTCATACTTGCTTATGCTGAGCCAAGAAGTAAATGCATCTGTCACATTGCTACACGCGCCGAAGAAAGCAGCAAATGGGATGTGCCTCCGCCAACTTCTGAGGGCGACGCAAAACGAACGGCTCAACACAGCCACTGGCTCCAGCACGGTCAAATGGAAGAATCACTCAGAGTTCTCTTGACCTTCGCTGCTAATTCTGCCGATTCCGTTCTGGAACCGCTGTTGTCTGGCGAGGCTGGAAGGCCTGCTCAGTCTTAATTGTGGCGGTGTCAGCGACCCAGTTGTATAAAATCGGTTCTGACCATGTTTCGGCTCCGTTGTCGCCTCCGTTTGTGGTTTGAGGTTCCCACTTGTCATCTCCTTTTGAGGTTTGAGGTTTTGCCCCTCGATTTACTTGTCCAGTTATGCCACACAGCAGGAGGTATGCTTGTGGCCAAGCAAATCACATGATGACATGACGCACTGCGCGGACGAATGGCGGTGCAGCATCTGAGGTCTCTCGCTCTGGGTGACTTGAGCAGTCTCGTCCGCTGCGGGCCGCTCACATCCGCTCCCTCAAGCTTTGACCTTTGGGTCTTGATCGTTGGACAACCGTCCCTCGGCCTGCAACACAAAAAACACAAAGCAACAGCAAGTCTTTCAACTGGCTTTTGGGGTGCAGCATGGAACCTATACAGCCAGCCAGCTGGATGCTTTGGTATTCTCGAGACACGTCTCCTTACACGAACGCCCCGGGCGCCTTCCCCTGCAGGTTGTTGCCGCTCGGCCGTAAGGACACAAGCTTCACGTCTGCAGAGTCGCTGGTGACCTGGGCAGGTTCGTTTGGATAGAGAGCTCCAGGTACATGCGTAAATGGGCCTGCTTTGACTGATGCTTCGCCTTGGCAATGCCAATTCTTTTGGCCTCAAGTCCAGGCTACTATGAAAGACGCGAAACGGTGTGAGGAGGGGACATCGGACTGCAATAAAGACCTGAAGGGGCCCTGTGAAAGCGGAAGCCTCGACATCGTAGACCGTGTAGAAAGCCCTGAGAAATGGCATCCCGAGCACGAAAACAGCTCCTGCAAAAAGGTTGGCAGAGACATTGAGATGGACGAAGCAGCAATCATGCTCCTCTGCCAGTGTCGCCCACTGGCATTAAGTGCGCCCAACAGTTGCCCACACCATCCTCAGCAACTGGCAAGCACCAAGTAGATATGCCACATGTCTGTGGAATTGTGACTGTGACATTGTAATCGCAAAGTGTCGGGTTGCTCAGGACCAGATCGATCGATATAATCATCCGCATCCATCTCGAATGCGTGCTTGCCAATCCTGGTGCTGCCCACGGACTCGTGCGAAGTCTCACAGTCCTTCCCGTGGATGCAGCCAGCGTCATTAAGCGTCTGGCTGGAAGCCAAGCTTGGGAAAGCGTTTCGATGCAGCACAGTGCATCTGGGTCCCGCCCTTCCGAAAAGGTTAACTCTAGGCAGCTGCTGACACACACACACATACACACACACACACACACACACACACACACCCACACCCACACCCACACCCACACCCACATCCACATCCACACCCACACCCACACCCACATCCACATCCACATCCACGCACGCACGCACGCACGCGCACACACACACAGATATACCCAAAGACACACACACACACACAAACAAACAAACACAAATATACACAAAGACGCACCCACACACACACAAACACAAATATACACAAAGACACACAGGACACATGCACACATCGCACTGCCGCACACACGCGCACAGGCACACGCACGCACGAAGCACACCCACAGGCACCCGCGCATCATGTGCATCCAGCACCCCACATCAGTCAACAAGACATGCTTTTCGCGAACTTCCCAGCTGTGAAGCACCTGAGTCTAAAGAGCACCTGTCTGTCAGAACCTGGTGGTGACAGTCGTGGCGGTTAGCCCGTATGATCAAGCAGCGCCATTCGTGATGAGGGCTCGACCACTGCTCGAGATTCAACCGCTTGCTCATTTCTCCAAGAAAGGCCCATATTGCATACTTCAAGAAAAAGAACTTGCAGGTCAGCCGGTGTGCGTCTAACACTGTGGCAAGCTCTGTCCGGTCCTATCCATCACCCTGCACTTTGTACACGGATGGTTTCTGGCAACACGCATACACGCACACATTAAGTTTGTCTCGACCTTGTGCAATGGACATTTGACAGAACAGCGTCGTCGCCTCGCTGCCTAGAACCATCATGCAACAGGCATAGCATGAGGTCGATGCCAACATCTCCACAACCGTCGGCTAAACCGGGCAACGAGCACAACCAAACATGTTGCCGTGACCCCTTGCCTGTATGTACAACAGGATGTGCACGCACGCACATGCACGCACGCACCCACACACACACACACACACACGCACGCACACAGACACACAGACACACAGACACACAGACACAGAGACACAGAGACACACAGACACACAGACAGAGAGACAGAGAGACAGAGAGACAGAGAGACAGAGAGACAGAGAGACAGAGAGACAGAGAGACAGAGAGACAGAGAGACAGAGAGACAGAGAGACAGAGAGACAGAGACACAGACAGATACACAGACACACACACAGACACAGACACACACACACACACAGACAGACACACACACACACACACACACACACACACACACACAGCACACACACACACACAGACACACACACACACACACACACAGAGACACACACACACACAGACACACACACACACACACACACAGAGACACACACACAGACACACACACACACACACACACACACAGACACACACACACACAGACACACAGACACAGACACACACACACACACACACACACACACACACACACACACACACAGACACACACACACACACACACACAGACACACACACAGACACACACACAGACACACACACAGACACACACACAGACACACACACAGACACACACACACACACACACACACACACACGCACATGTACATTTTCATGTGCATACACAGATACATACATGTAACATATATATATATATATATATAAGCTATAGGTATTATAAACATGCATTCTCCCCAGCAGCGGGCCTGAAACGTCAGCAACTCGAGGAGGGTATCCAATTCGCTTCTCGGCCCCATCCTGTGCCATGTGCCATGTGGCTGTGCTTGAGAAGCTTCGCAGAGACAACGGATAAGCACCGTGCAGGAGTGAGCTGCCGGTGTCCAGGACTCCCTGGCAACGCCTCTTTCCGTGCCTCGCGCCTGGCATGGAGATGGTGCTTTTAGACGTGGGCCTTCGCGGGGTTCTCTTGGGGATGATTCCTGCTGACTCCAATTGACTCCAGCTAGCAAAAGGTGTCAGAGGCTCACAGGCCAGTTGGCTTTCCGTCGACGGTAATGTCGTCAAACTGAAACTGCCAGTAGCCTGCGGCATTCACCCATTCCGGCACGCAGCAGCTTCACTGTGGCGTGAAGGGTCTGTGCATCAGGCCTTCTTCGGAAATGTTGACCCAGTGCAACGGCGACCTCATCTTCAGCGATTATTAGCAGGTCAGAAGAATAGTGCACACGCAAGCTCCAAATAAATGTAGGATCCTGACGCCATGCGACTGTCATGGTAGTCTCCGAACGTGACTTCGGCTTCGTCCTCGACCCGTCGCCTCAACAAGGACAAAACTCGAGGCTCTCGAAGAACGGACTGATAAGCTTGTGGCCCGAGGTAGACTGCAAACACCGGCTTCTTCATGTTCACTCCTCCTTTGCGACAGCGCAACAAAGGCTGCGAAGGCACTGCAACGCAAATTGTATAGACCTGCCCGATGTGAGCGTCCTTTCAGGAGATTCTGCACCACGTTGAACTCCACATGGTCACTGAGGGACTGGCATGGCGTGGGCCCGCGCTGCACTGAGCTATGAGCCGCTTTAACGTGCGAACTGAGACCCTTTCAAGCGTGGCCTGAGCGAGGCCGAACACCCCATCCCACTCCGCAGCAGCAAAAGGATCCATTGACCTCGCAAAACCACCACAATTCTAGATTCTCCTATGTTGCAGCGTTGAAATGCTTGCATGTCATGCTGTCATGTTGGAGTGTCAGGTGCTTTCCGTGCATTCAATTTCAGAGAGTCGGAATGTGTAGCTGAGGCATAGCCACCACGTGTTTTTGTCCAACCGCTGAAGATTGAGCGCTGTTACGTTGAAGGCGTTTGTTGACCGGATTGAAGCGATTCGACAAAAATAGGAAAGATCTCGAGGGATGAGCAGCCGCTGTGATCAATACTCATCACGACAGAAGTATGGCATAGTATGGCATAGTATGGCTGTGCTTGTCCAGCTGGGTGAAGCTCAATAAACATGACTAAACGAGAGACGAGAAACTGCAGCCGGTCATCGACACTCTTTTCCGATCACTTGCCCAACAGCGTCACACGGTGCTGTTTGCACGGCTGTGCCCGAGTCAAGCTTCAGCCAACAGCTCTGAAGAGCCACTTCCTCGTGTCAGCAGATTAGCCGGTCATCGACACTCTTTTCCGATCACTTGCCCAACAGCGTCACACGGTGCTGTTTGCATGGCTGTGCCCGAGTCAAGCTGCAGCCAACAGCTCTGAAGAGCCACTTCCTCGTGTCAGCGTCACTCCGCTACCCTGCAACTGGAGTCGTACTCTGAGCTTGCATTGAATGTTGCATCTGCTGGAACGGCTGCATTGGAGTGTTGTTGTGTTGGTGGTGGCATTGCTGTTGTTGGCACAGCTGCTGGTTGCCTTGCTGCAACTGCTGCCGTTGCCACTGCTGCCGTTGCCACTGCTGCTGTTGCCACTGCTGCTGCTGCCATTGCTGCTGCTGCCACTGCTGCTGCTGCTGCCACTGTTGCTGCCACTGCTGTTGTGTCTGCTGCCAGTGGGACTCAAGCCTCTCTCGAGTCTGCCGAAACTCGTCAGAGTCTGGAAGCTGCACCAACAGCATGCGGGAGAACGGTGCACCCTCCAGGGCTGCACGCTGGAACCGGCCACCCTGATCGTTGGCAAAGGACAAAAGGGCCTGGCAATAGCCCTCGTAGTTGCGCTGGTGGGGCGGGTAGAGGCGCACGCACTCGTTGCAGGGTATCACTACACAAGGTATCTTTGCGATGGCTGCATACTGCAGGCAAGGCGTGGTTGCTTCGTCTCCATACAGGGACACAATGGCACTCGCATTCTCAACCAGGTCTTTGTGCTCTTCTATGAAGTCTGTATCAAAGGTGGCGCAGATAGCCCGGAGTTGAGGTGACAGCAGGCCATCCGCCTTCGCCTCCTGCAGTTGCGTGTGGCTGTTACTCTTGCCCGTCTTCCCCCAATGCGCATCGACCACTGTCACAGATATACCTCGATCGAGAAGCGATGCAGCGAGGAATCCAGGCTCACCACCGATGTCCAGAACGCCAGATCCTCGTTGAAGGTTTACGAGGCCCCAAGTTTCGATCATCCAATCTGCTAGCATGTCGGCTTCGGTTTTCTTGTTGTAGCACCACCGAGAGCCACAGCTGGAAGAGACCCACTCTTTCCACTCCAAGCTTGTCCAACCATCAAAACGCGGCTCCGGATCGTAGAGTTTGGGCCATGGTACCCATCGTTGACCTTTGCCGCAGCCCTTTGCTTGCTGAGGGCAGCTCGGACATGCTGAAGATGCCTGGGGCTGCTGAGCCTGCTGAGCCTGCTGAGCCTGTGGTGCACACGGCGTGCACGGCGTACACGCCACGCAGCCGTCGCAGCCGTTGCCCTGTGACGACACCGTCGGAGTGGCTTCTGCAGCATCAGTCGTCTCACAAGGCTGCCCGGCTTGCTTCGAACCCTTCCCTGTGTCTCCTCCGTGACTCGGCTCGACGACAACTTCTAGCGGCTCGTCCTCTTTCTTCTCTTGCTCTCCGGAGGTGGTTAAGCTGCAGTGGCTGTCTGGTTTGGGCACCTCAGCAGCCTTTGCAGCCTGAGCCAGGACCGCCTGTAAGCCTGTCAGTACCTGCTGCAGAGCTTGTCCATGCTGCGCGAGGAGCACAGCAGATGCATGGCAGGCTGCGGCGAGGTCGCTCGGCAGCCGGGCCGCATCCATGGCGAGGGAACAAAGGGAACAAAACCAACCTTGAAGCCTCCAGGCTGTCGTACAGTAACATTCAAGTCAAATCTGATGTAGTATGACGGAGTCCCCATGTAAACCTGTCGTACTGCAAGTCAAATCTGATGTGGTATGGTGGAATCTCGATGTAAACCCAACATTTTCCATCGTCGTGTTGCCGGCGCACCAGCGGCCGAAAGCAGCTGGTGCCGAGATATGCCAAGACATCGCTTGACTCAACCATCATTTTCATTGGCCTCCCTCGAGGAAGTGGCAACGAGACGCCTAACTGCACCTAACTTTTATGAGAGACAGGCCTTGTCTGACTGCCTTCCGGAGCACTTAGGCAAAGGGGCACTGCTAAGCTCCATACTACCTGCAGCACGGAGAACGATGCCCTCAAACACCAAGGGGCCAACTCCTCTGTCATCTCGACGAAGTCCGCAAAGGCGCATGCTGAGCCAACGCAAACTTTGTCTCGAACAAACCTTGTGCCCACAACATGCACAGGAATCGTCGGGAATCCTACACTTGATTCAACTCTTCAATTGCATACCGTTGCACCTGTGTGACTATCAGCTACGCTCTGGGACTAGCGATTCTTCAGCATGGCCACAAGAACACCCTGCTGTACTGTGGACTGTGGGCAGTAGCACCAAGGCTTATGCTGACCCACAGCATCTCCGGCAGCGAAGCTCACGACCTGAGGCCCGACAAAAATCGTCCTTTGACTTTCGGTCGTACTCACCCGCACTCAGTGAGGGAAAGATTGCACCGAACATGGCACTTCCCTAAAGGGATTCTTTAACTTTGTGGCACTAGAAGTAGCACCTCCTTACCGGCTGGTTTTTTTTTTTTTTTTTTTGGGGGGGGGGGGGGGCCTCAGCTGCCTTCGCTCATTCTCTCAGGGCTTCGCAGTCGTGTCGCGATCAAAGTCGCTCTTGGCCTCCTGGAGCGGCTGGTCGGCCCAGCCTGGCTTCACGTGGGGGGGGGGGGGGGGGCAAAGGAAACAAATACATATACTAGTGCATTAATACATCTGACAATATGCTTTCCATGCTGAAGATTTGTTGATGATTTTCACTAGATCCTCATGTGTGCAGCCACAGTATGACCAACTATGAGTCAACAAGGAAGGAAGCGTATAACCCTGAGGCTCCTGCCGATGGGCGTTGCCTCAAGTGCTCGGCTTCGCTTGTGCAAAGCTTCACGCGCTACGTGTGAATTTTGTCTGTCTGTGGCGGTGGAAGAGAAGTCCTCTACAGCTTGGTATCCGGCAGTACTACTCTTCTGCACCACAAAGGCTTGATGCTTCTTGCAAGCCTGCCGGTACATGCAATCATTCTTTTGAATGTAGCGTGTAGGATACTTGCATCCCAGTGTTGGTGGCATGACTGGGCGGCATGTTTTTAAAGATGGGCGTGCGGCTACGAAGTCTCTACAGCTAATCGTGCTGAAGCTAAACGTGAGCTGTCCTCATGCCTTCGGCAAGCAAAGACGTCGCAGAGTGCTAGATTAAAAGGAGAGGTCAATCAAATGACCGCTAAAGTCGACGCTGGTTGCACCTGTCCTATCCTGGTGCAGGTGCTGCAGCTCTAGATTCGCGGTTGGCCAGCTTGCATTCAGCTTGCTCAGCCACCGAAACGTGCGGACAAATACCTACCCTTGTATGCAATGTCCATCGGTAGTGCCCTCTCTGCGGAAACTGAGAATAGGACAACCCTTTCATCAGTTGTCATCTACCACGGGGCCAGGCTGCCCATCAGCAAAGTATTTCCGGTGTGCACGTCTCACATCGCCTGCTATCTGGATCATTCATTCATAAAGGCCCGGCAACGCGCTAAGCACGGCCGCACATTCAATATGGACAACTCCCAGACCATCTAGGCTCTGCTAAGTCTACGGCTCTTCGGCCCATGCCAAGTTCTTGTTCTTCGTGCGCACTGTGACATTCACAAAACGCCAGGAGGCATTGGGGGAACGCACGCAAGCCAAGAATTGTCGGCGGCCTTAGCCCTCATCTCCATCCTGTGTGAAGAAGCACTGCGAGCAATCCCCTACAGTGTCTTCCCGTGCCCAGCCGCTGCAAGAACAGATGCAGACTTGCTCGTCCTCCGGGATATCGGAGCCGATGTCCGTATTGATCCCAAGAAGCTTGTTGCGCTCTTTGGTGGCTCTGTAAATCGCTCTCCTGATCAAACGTCTTTCTCATGAAGTATGGCGACCCTGAGACTGAAGTCAAGGGTCCGGGTATGAATGTGAAAAGCCCATCAGCCCAACACCAAGTTCAGAAAGGGCGCTTGTCAATTGCTGAAACCAGATCTGGACCAAGCGCGAAGATGCGGTCCAGTCTCCGTAGGCGTGCCTGAGGCTCGGCTGTTTCCTGACAGGAACGCAAGCAACCACTGAAGGCTGCCTACCATCATCTCTGGCCAGTGTCTTACTATAAGGCCCCGGCGAGCGCTCTTTCGAGCTCATCTTTTGCACCTGACTTCAAGCCCATCAAGCCCCCCCCCCTGGAAGCTTTCGCGGCACGTGCTTCACTCTTGGCTCAGCAAAGTTCAGCCGTGATGCGCTGAAGCTTGACACTGAAGGGCGCTGTCGTCAGCGAAGATGTTGAAGAGTTGCGCTCCATGAGTCCATGCAATCTCTCCTGCAGGCAAACAAACTGCGAAATTCCTGGATCGTCATGCGCGTTGTGAGCTGCCCCTACATTATGCACAAAAGAAGCACTCAGGGAATTTTCTTCTGTACGATGCGATCAAATCCGATCAGAGGCCTTGCGGGCGCACGTCCGTGAAGGACCTGGCTACATCAATTCAAGCCTTGAGCCAGAATGGAGCCATGCCATATTGCGGGCACCCGGTCGCAAGGGCATGCAAGCAGCCTATGCATTTCTACGTGTTCCGGCTGATGGCCTACGATAAAATATGGGGTCGACTACAACTTCGACCAAACAGGCCTGCAGACGACATTCTCATAGAGAAATAATAGAGACAGAGCGAGAGTCAATCCACACGAAGGAGCCTCCCTTGCCGTTTCTGGGACTGGGAAGACAGAGGCATGAATCCTTGGAACAACCCTTCAGGTCTTGGAGCTCGTTAGATAGCAAGGTATTGGAGATGTGTTGAGGGACCGCTAATCTTCGAGAACTGTCGGTCACTGCAGTGAACACTGAACTGGACTCTGGCAGGCAGCTACAGTGAGTCTTGAGTGCACGAAGCGCCTGGCTGCTGCACCTGGCTGAGGGAAGCATCAACCTAAGCGGCAGCATCGTATCTCCATGGAGGAATCCTGCCAACATCTGCCGAAAGACTGACCGCTCCCTGTATCGAAGATGACCATGAAACGCTGTGGGGGCGTCCCGACCTCTTTCCACTGGATGCTGCTTTGAGAAACACGACTGACACGGTGGCCCATGTGGAGCAGGAGTTGGCTTCTTGCACGGCTGTGAAGCAAACGTCTGAGGCTCATGCGTGGATTTCGCCGTAATACTGCAGCGCATGCAACTGCTGAGCCTTGCATGCACAGGCAGCAACCCGAGACTGCTAGCTCCTTGGATTTAGTTCGTATTGGTACTCTGAACAGGCACGATGCAATCAACATAGCGACATACGGCTAGGCGCCTGCGCTCGCATGCGGGACCTGAGCATGACGACTGTCTTCCAAGCCATTTACCTCGGCCTGCGGCCAACATGCGTCTGGAACCAGCAGACTACGGTAGGAAGCTGGTTTCCTTCCTCCTGTGCGCCATTCTCTTGGGGAGTGCTGAACTGGGACTGTTTTCTGCGACGCTCTCGGTTTGGGACCCCTGAGGTGGATTTTCTGGAACCCCCTTTTGACTTCTTGACCGTTCCCTCCACCCAACCTTTACCTGCTTTGGGTTTACTCAAGTCTGCTCCTCGACCTGCGGTCGCTTTCCGTATCTGCACCACGACCGGGCGGACTGAAAACTCCCACTTGGACCGCCGACGTGAACGTCCGGTGCCTTGGGCCGGACCGGCTGCCGAGGCGACGAGCGCAAGCGTTTACAACTGAAGTATCGCCTGTCATGAACTCGTGCCGAGGTACACAGAGGCCAATGTCGAGTTCTGTGACAGTTGCGTGCCTCAGGCATGCTGCAATATGACATAGTATGAGGGATCACGATGCTGGGGTGCTCTTGGAGTTGGCGGGCGATGAGGCGCCCGCTGATCAGGCTGACATGGGCGGGGTCCCTGACTGGAGGCCGAGCGTTCCTCGTATCACACGAGCCAACACCAGCTCCTTCTTTCGCATGAGCTTTGCAGCTTTGCAACACAGCAGGTGCATCATTACGCATCGTGGTTAAGGATGGTGCGCTAGTTTCAGAGGCACCGTGAAGGAACCCCGGCTCAGCGATCTTCGCAACCTCGCCATTAGCTGCTGGACTGAGAAGCTGAGAAGCACCTGACATTCCCGCAGATCAGCCTGCTGGCTTCCGCTGAGATGGCCAGCAGAAATGCCTGGAAGCGCGAACAAGCATCGATTGCTGGCGTGACATAAAAGTGCCAGGTGTAGAAAAGCTTCGCCTAAAAGCCAAGTCTCCCACCAGCAATAGCTTCATTGAGGTGCGGCACATTGCTCTTCCCCGCTGTGTCGTTGAGAGGCCAGCAAAAGAGGCCTCATATTTCGAGCACAGGCCGGATAAGGGCTCATTGTTTTTTTCGGGATATCGTGCTAGAGGTGTTGTAGTTAATTGCCGGTAAGAAACTATGTTTCACTAATTCTTAGTATGCATTGTATTGAAACATTGGCATGTTGGATTGCATCATAATGCATTCAATGAAGCTAAACTTGATTATGTGAGATTCGCCTTGCTCAAAGGCCGTATGGCGTCAGAGGTTCCATACCTCCTACATCCTTCCCCCTAATGATGTTTTTTTCCCAGCCCTCCTCGCCCCGCTTTGCTGTGCTTCCGGGATTTTCGGTGGAGACTTTTATTTTCAGCAGCCTTATTTAAAGCTTACTATAATAGTCAGGAAATATGTATGCGTTGTATTCGGTTATCATCTCGAAGCATCTCTGTGACAGACAGGCCCTCCTGTTAGATTTGATTTTTGCTCCTGGGTGCTGGGCGGGCGCGCCACTTTGGCTGCAAGCACGCTGCAAACAGCAGCTTTCGTGCTGAGATCCAAAATCGAGCATGAGGATTCGATGCCAAGTGCGGTTTGCACATGCACATGAGCACGATGCCGTCATGAGCTGCTATGTTGAACCTGCCAGTGCCTAGCTCTGACGTCTGAAGCGCTGCAGGCAGAAAGCGGCGCGCTTTTTCACCCTGGAGGGCTATGGAGACACAGGAGTGCCAGGAGTGCCCGGCGCGCTGCCGGGGCTCTTCGCTGCTTTGGCTTTGGGTGTCGATGCCTTTGGCGTTGCACCTGCCAGCATCCGACACTTGCTCACCCTGTATCCAACGCGCTCAGTTCGCGATCGGAGGGCAAGTGCCAGCCTCCTCCGCCTTTGGATGTAGGACGGAACCTTGGACTCAGATTTTGTCCGGGGCTGAGTTAACTTGGGAGCTCAGGCCGAGAATCCAGCCGTCTGTACTCCGTCATGGCGTGCCTCACTTGAAGTGCATTCCAAGACCTCCTCCACCCAAGCTTGCTTATGATGTGACATTTGGATGTTGTGCGATCTGCGGCGAAGAAGCTCTTTCTGCACGAAGGGCTGCGACTCGGGTATGTCTCCCAAATACCTGACGATTTCTCTCAACAACTTCGGCTCGTCGAGTTAAGGCAGGACCACGCCTGCCAGGAACGCCTCCAAAGACAGTAAGGGGAGGGACGATGGTGTCCGGCGGCAGGATCTGGCAAAACGGACTAGGACTAGGACACTCAGGCGTCCTGATGCCTCTTGGGCTCACACGGTGTTGGGGAGAATCATGGAGTTATCCTGGATTGCCACTGCGCTCGACCATCGGCGATGAGGGGGGCATAGATGTGCAGGGCGCCGACTCCAATTGACTACACTCCCTAGTCCTTGAGTATGCACCGCTTCGAGATGACGCAGTTTTCCCCAATGTCCACACAAGAACCTGACGGGGCAAGCCGGCGCAAGTCACGCACAAGCGCAAGAGCTGCTGCAGAGAAAGCCCAAGCACGCTGCCAATCTGGGCAGCGCAAACAATGCTCTTCGGCCCAATTGTCACGTAGTCCCCGATGCTCATAGGGAAAAACGCGATATTCCCCTGGTCGGGGAATGGCACTGTTGAAGTTGTCAGGTCATTTGGGATCAAGTTGAGTCCCTGCACGGTAAGCAAGCCACTCCTTGTACTTCTTGTAAGATGGCCGCAGCACGCAGCCGTCGCCAATGATCACGAACTTGCCTCGAAGCACTTATAAGACTTGTACACTGTGGCAAGTGCGGTGACTCCGGTGTCTGGCCCTTGAAGTGCCTATCTTGAGAAGCTGAAGGTCGCCTCTCAGCACGACTCCCGGCCTCGTGAGATGCTTAAGGCTATAGGCTACAGAGGCAAGTCATGTGGGATGCAACCTGCAAGCTCGCAGAGAATGTATTGCTCAGGCCGGGGCTTCACAACGGAGTTGCCCACGAGAGAAATATTCTGCGATCCGCAAAGAACTGAGTTGCGACTGACCTCCAGTGAAGGATCAGACGAAACTTACGCCAGGCAATTCAGAAATGTGCCTTGTTGCCAGAGGCCGTCTGTATGTAGTCTGCCTACGCGTCATTCCGAATCGCCAAGTTGTTATCGCCTGCATGTGGCTGCCCAAGCCTTGTTGTAGTAAATGGGGGGAGCTTCCAAATCCAATGCCAAGCCTTCGTCATGGCGAGGGTTCCGCAGCACTCCAAGCTGACAACTACTAGCATTGGCGAAGCAGTGGCAGAGAGACGAGACCCTGAAGACGAGGATTGCTGCTGAGACACTGAACTCGTCAGCCGTTTCCTGTGACATGATTGCCGCCACGCCGCAGCGCACATCTATAATCTACATAAGTCTACACCGCCCATGAGGCTACATCCCGCTCTGTGTGTGTGTAGTTTACCCTTCATTGTGTCATGCGCAAAGCTGCACGGGAGAAGCGGCTAGCAGGCTCATACCCATATACACATGAACAAGATTGAATAAGTGTGAATTGCGAGTAATAATTGGCACTAGGACCCGCCTACGGGCACAATTTGCAGCTGAAACCTTGAAGTCTGAGCCATCATGTGACTGGACATGGCAGTGTTCGAACTCAGCACAACAGGTGACCGCTGAAAGCAGCACATGTTCCGAACCGATATTTTGCGGAGCTCGTTAGCAAGGGCGCGCTGCCACAAACTGCAACCCCTGTCAGGTGAGCAGCTTGGCTGCTCTTCCTGGCAAGGGGCGATCCATTAACATCCTCTATACATCCTCTTATGTGCTCCATGACTTCCAGAGGAGAGGTGACGTGCCGTCAAGTTCACAAGCCCATCTCGGCGCATATGTCAATATAGTCAGATGACCTTCGGGTAGTAGAGCTGGAGCGTTTGAGGCAGCGTTGCACTTTCACAGAAGACCATGGGTGATGCAAAGGCCATTGCCACTTGCCGTCTTCTTCTTGCACGTTCAATCGGTCGATGACCTCACGCTTTACACATCTTTGCACACTCTACGGCGCTGTGGCGGCTCAATGGCCAGATTGCGAGACAGGCTTAAGCCTTTAAGGCTTTGGCAGGGGGGCCTCCAGATCTGGGCTCGAGAGAGCAGATCACAGCCACCTTCCATATCAAGGTATCAGCCACACATTTGGCCACACTGTTTACGCTTGAAGGTGGGCTTCCAGTGCCCTTCAAAAGGGAAGGTTTCGACAGGTTTGCGCAAGCAGGCAAGCAAGTGAGCAAGCAAGTGCGCAAGCAACTCTTTGCCGCTTTCTATTTCCACAATCTGCTGTGCATCCACTGCGGTTCTGAGCTTCAGGCGCTCTTGAGGTTTCCGCGGAAGAGGACATCCACCCTCTTCCGCACATCGAAGCGGCACCTCTGGGATCCGGTCAGGGTAACGCTGGAATTTGAAGCACCGGAGTCTCGGGCGTCGGCTTCTGCAATGCTTCCATCACATCTGGCAGTCTGATAGCTGCATGTATCTTAGCATGGCACAAGGGTGCCGGGCAAGCTTGAGACAAAACCCTGGGAAAGTTGCATCGATGGTGCGCTCAGGCTCCATGCATTAATGCGAAGCTGCTGCGTGGAAGCTTGTGGTGGGGACCCATCTGCTACTTGTTCTAGGCTTCCTGCCATGCAAAAAACAGCCCCCGGAGCCATTGCACTCTTGGCGACCTCAGGGTTGCTGCTGCTGGTCTTGGCCCAAAGTGCTGTCGACACATGCTCAATCATGCTCACATACTTCTTGGGCTCTTGGATGTAAACTCGCGGCTGAGCAGCCTAGCCGCATGCTGAGCCTGCAGCGGAGCAGAACCTTTGCATATGACAGGTGGGCACTGCTGCTTCTGGTGCAAAGACAATGCCTCGTGGAGTGAGCCTTAGAGTCTTAGGGTCTTAGAGTCTTAGCGTCTTCGAGTGCTTGAACTGAAGGTGTTAAGGCCGTCTCAGGAGGAGGGGGATTGAATTCAAGATGAACTTGCTGCCAGTTCGTTTCTCATGTTTAGAATCTTGAATTTCATGCCTTCTGCTGATTAAAACCAAATAAAACAAATCCTGGTGCCTCTAGGGTGGGCGGGGGAAGAAGCGAATTTGCTTCCCCTTTGCCCCCTTGCCCCTGCCAGCTCGCCACGCTCGATTCGAGGCACAACCTCTCTCAAACCACGACCCTCCGCCCAAACTCGCCTAACTTGCTGTTTCGGTTGACCTCCCGAATTCGGTTATTCCAGGGTGAGCTCGGGTGAGCTTGCTATAAGTTAGCCAGTTTAGTTTCTGCTGCCAGGGAGCTCTGCAACACCGCCTCGCAGCTCATGTCGGCAATATGCCTTGAGGCACGATACCGCATCTGCAGGATTTGCCGAGTTCAGACACCTCAGGGCCAGCGGCCACGCCTTCTGCGAGTTGTTTGGCAAATTCCCAGAGGTGCTGCTGAGGTACCTCGGCAACGAGTCAACGAGGTGGGATCCATCGGGCTTGCCAAAGCCTGTTGCCGAGGGCCATGCGGCGGGTTGGCTGTGACGACATCGAATGTTCCCAGAGACTCAGTTGCATAAACATCTTGAACGTTACTGCTGAGCGCACTTGTTGCTCAGTTGGGCTTGCCGAACATCAGACTGCGTAGACAGCATCTGCTCTGAGCTCCGGCGCTCGGAGGGCGGGTCCGTCTCTCAGATCTACATGCCTCCGCAACGAGGAAGTCAGAGGTGCACAGTCGGCTGTGCATGTGCATGCGCCTGTCACACACCTCTGCCCTGTCATGAACATCCCATCAGCCTGCCTGAGCTCGACTTCGTCTTGCACCTGCAGCAGGACAGAAGGGTTTCGTGCCAATGTGGGTAAATGCACGTGCTACATCACGTTAAGATGAATGCCCGACTCAATCATCGGCCTGGCACTTCTGAAGTGTCCGGCGGCAAAGAGCTGTACTGACGTCCTGCGCCTGTGGTGAGCACTTCATGTTCAGCTTAGCCAAACTTTGGGGTTGGATATGGCTGATGCATGTTCACTCGCAGACACTAGCAGTACACTGCAGGACAGGGAGGCTGCGGGCATCCCTACTCTGCCTCTTGCTGGATCATCCACTCTCTTCTACACTCCACAGAGGCCCTTGTCATCCTGCAGCTGACAGGTGGTGGATCCTCTCAGCCTCCGGCCTCCAACATCGTGACCCTGGCGGCTCCGCGCGGCTGCTGGGCCAACCAGGCCAAACCTTTGATTCAGGTCAGATCCTCGGGTTAATTGCCAGATCACGTATAACATTTCGGTATTTTCAAGCTTGCAATTCTAGATTGTCCGACACTTAATATATCTTAATATCATTTCATGAACATCTCTTCCAGATTCTGCCGACTCCATCAACATCCGTTCAGTTCGAGTCAGGACAGCAATGCCTCGCGCGATGAAGCCTTGACTGCTCGCCTCATCCGAGTGGCCGATGGTCCCAATGCCGGAGCCCAAGTCGAGCCTCGACTTCCATCAGGCTGGGCATCTTCATGGCCCTTCATGCTGCAATTCGGGAGAGGACCCGCGCCCTCTGCTGGGGCTCAGGCAAGCTTTTGGCACAAGGGGCAGCTTTGAGCGCGTAGTAGGCGCAAAGAATGTCATCCGCGCAGTAGCGGTAGCCCTGATGTCAACGAGAACGTGAGTGGTGAAAGCCACCACGTGAGTTCAGCTACCCCATTGAAATCGCCACTTGCGCTAACCGCTAGTCGTGTTGGAATTGGCGTGCTGTGTCCTGATTTAACCTTGCAGGTTTAGAAAGCTAGAACTACGGTACTATTCTGTCACTGTCCGGCGCATTCGTCTCTTTTGCGGCCGCTCGCTTTCTTTGAGCTCGTGGCAAGTTGGAGACCTCTACTCCAGACACAGAATGTTTGAAACGATGCAGCTGCAAGTGAGCCTTGTGAAGCACATAGCACGTATGCAGACACCTTGTGGCCTTGCTAGTATTACTTTGTTTTATTGCCAATATTTTTCTTGCTATGATCTCAAATTCTCTATCGTTGTTTGATACGATTGATTGATATCCTTCACGAAGCCAAATGCATGGCTGGGCCCTTCTCTGGGCAACCGACTCTGCCCACGACTCTGTTGGACTTGCTTGATGCGCTTGTCATCATCAGTGATTAATATGCAAATTGTTTACAGTTCTTTGTCGTCCTCATCTGCTCAGCTGAGACATCTCAGAAACCGTGCGCTGGCGGTTTTCCTCAAGTCTCTTCTTGATGCCTAAGCTGCAAACATTTGCAGAATGAGCGGAGCCACTGCCGATAGGGGACTTCTAGCATCTTATGGCTATGGCCGCGGTCTGCCATTTGCACCATACTTTGTCGGGGGAAGATTGCACTGCGACTGCGTGGTATGCAGACACTGCCACGCCAACTTAGGGTATTCCATCCAATTCGCCTGGACCTGGTCTAGGACAAGTCTGTCACAGCTCCGGAGGAGGATTCTCCGAAGGTGATCGTGGGGTAGTTGGTTGCGAGCTTGGCCCACACTCTTGGCTTGCTTTGTCGACTGGGCCTTGACAGGCTACTGGATGCTGTTGGGTCAATCCTTGTAACGGGAGAACCCATTTGGGGTCTCTTCGATAATGGGGGGGGGGGGGGGGGGGGGGGGGGGGGGGGGGGGGGGGGGGGGGGGGGGGGGGGGGGGGGGGGGGGGGGGGCGCGCGACAGGTTTTGGGATCAGGGTATGTTTCGGGGCATGTTTCGGGGGTATGTTTCGCGGCATCATGAGCTACTTTAATTACCTGCAAAACTGGGGGTATGTTTCGGGGGGTATGTTTCGGGGGGTATGTTTCGGAGTATGCTTCGGGGTATGTTTCGGGTGTGCAACCCGGGTGCCCCTCTTATAAACCTGAGCCCTCCAAAAAACACAAACCCATTTGGGCCCAGCCAAGCCCTGAAGTGCTTGCAGACATGTTGCACGACACGATGGCGTCATGCGTCTGTGGTTCCAGCTGCTGCAGCGGCTCGCAGCTCTCTGCCCACAGGACCAGGATGGACTGACGGCACAACATCTTGAACACTTGAATAACACAGAAGCTCTGGGCTAGCCTTGCCTTGAAGCCCGTCTTGGCCACACTAAGAACCTCGGACTCATGTGATTCCGACACGCAGAGAATACGTTGTGGTCATCCCCAACGCTCAACAACTCCAGGCCCTCGGAGAAATCTCTCTACTGTCGCTCGCTGGCTCGCTGCAGGCATGCAAATAACTTGCTGCACTTCATCGTGCATGGAAGCAGCAGCATGGTAACTCATCGGGGACACATTGTCTGCATTTACAACCGTTTCTTGTTGTCTTCTAGCTGGGCATGCTCAATAATTTTTGGCACTTTTTCGCCCTAAGGCCCAAGCAATACTGGTCATGATCGCCCCGCAGACGAAGCCAACGGCTGGTGCACAGTGAAGCCATGCCCATTCGCCTCTGCTGTTCTCTGTACACTCGTAGACTTCGAAAAGCATCCCAGGTGGATTTGAGCGAGGCCTAGATAGTGTGCGACTGCGCCGACCAGAAAACCCAGCAGCCCACCCACTTGGGTGCCAGAACCTGTCCAACGCAGCTGCTGCTGAATTTAAAGCAAGCAAGCGTGTCGAGTTCTGGCTCCACCACTAATGTCCACATCAATGGTACTCCACAGTATATATGTATATAGATATATATATACATATAGAAAAAAAATATATATATATATATATATATATATAGATAGATACATGTTCCACATGAACTGCATCGGCACCTGGCCTGTGACATAGTCTAGGACCAGGTTGTTGGCCAAGAGAGTCACGTTGGCGCATGTGCACACTGCAACCCTCAGCTGAGTGCAAATGCATCACATGCCAAATCAGCTAGTACTGATAGTTATGGACAGCCGAACAAAGGCGAAACACACCTTGACAACTGCACTCTGCAGCTTAGCCTCGTTAAGCACGTGGATTGCATGAAGGATGCGTTGCGAATTGCGCACTGGGTGAAGGCCCAGGTATTGCAAAACTGAGAGACGTCCTCAGCAAACAGCACGCAATCTCAATGAGGCACCAAAAGCTGCCGAGTTCAACGGATTTGGCCTGCTGTTTTCTCAGAACCGAGAGGCTCCAACCAAGTGGAACACGCACTCCAGCACGCACCCAAAGATGCATGTCCTTGCCAGATGCTGTATGATATGCAACTAAACAAGGACCGTAATCCGAGCACCTGTTTAATTAAACCCCCCATATTTAAAGAAATATTTTTTCTCCGGAAGCCCGCCGGAAGACTACTTTCCATTGCGGTGGATTTCGTATGGCCATAACCCCCCACATTTAAAGAAATTTTTTTGGGGGGGGTTCAAAAATCTGTCGGCAGGCTTCTTGTTTTGCTTGCGGAGATGCGGAGCTACAGCACCTCAGGGATCTGCAGCCGATTGTTTTTAATAGAGAATCAATGCAGGGCCATGGTCCAATTATTGCGGAACCCTGCCTTCCTTATTTTGGGGGGGGGGGGGGGGACCCCTCCCAATTAAACAGGTGCTCGGATTAATTAGACCTCATAAAAAGGTTGGGTCAACTAGACGACAACCTGTCACTCACACAAGCTCACAAATCTGACGCGCAGCTGCTGCAGATTTCGATGATGCTCTTCTGCGGGGTCTGAGACTTGTCTTTCATACAAGAGAGGCGAAATTTAAACCCTGAAAATCCTGCAACGGTGCTAAACCATTTCAACTACGGCAAGCAAGACCTGGTTGAACCATAGCTCCTCTTGGATTGCGGGGTATCGTGGTCTCTCGCGACCACGAGTCTCTCGCGGAAGCTACAAGTGTCAAATAAACATCAGCGACATCATAATTAACACGCACACACACACACCCTACATCGAACACACCGAATAGCGATGGATCCTTTGGGAATGGAAATGGGAATACATTGAAATGGTGCACAGTGCGAGTTGGAAGTTCTACTTAGAGGGTTCCCAGAATAATGCCAAACGCTCACTGCGCCGTCGTTGCCCGAAACAATCCGAAGCAGGAGCTGCGGCATGCGCTTGCTGCACTGTGCACAAGCGGACTCGCTGCTCTGCCAAGCTTCAGGCAAGCTCGTACAGGATTTGCTTTGCAGTCAGGCCCTGCTGGCTGTATGAGCCTCGCATCACAACCCACTTGCGACTGGAGCGACCTATTGTTTTTCCTTGCCTGCTGAGGATCTCGATGGTACGAACAGATAGTCTCCAAAACGAGGCGATGCAGGCCTTTGCTGAGACAGACTAGCAGTTAACGCCTTTCAGTTGCACATCCGCGAGCGCCCATGACAATCCCACGCTGTCACAGAACCCTGCAAATGCTGCAAAGAATCTGTGCCCAAAGCAAAGGCCATTGAACTCCTCTCAACAAATAGCTCAGAAGCTTCCAAGTTATGACAACACTGTGTAATTGTGAGGCCGATGAAGCCGATAAGAGCTCCTACCATAAAAAAACACTGAGACTGTGGCACACGAACGCCACAAAGAGTGCCCACCGGCCCTTCTATGTTCCACCATGTCACTACAGTATGTTCCGCTGGATTGCAGGCTCACAAGTTTCGACGTAAGTGATGAAAAGATCATGCTCAAACATGCTCGACATCCGCAAACATTTATTACTGTCGATTGCTGTGGAACTTAGTGTTGCGCACGACTCTGAGACATGCTCGATGCTCCTGAAGCTCACCAAGACTGGCGGCTCTGAGCGTGAAAAGTACCATCGGCTGTACACCCCGCAGAATGCCAGGATGGTAACGTACGAGGCAACGCCTCGCAGGCTGACAGGTTTCCACGTGAACTGGGCGGCCAACGCGCAGGATTCCCTAGCCCAGCATGGATTCAAGGTTGTTCAAGACCTTCAAGATGGAAAGGTTTGGTTCCATGCCGCAAAAGGGAGCCCAGCATGCGGCTCAGACATTTCGGCCAAGTCCACGGGGCACTGGCCGGTCCCAGACAGGGACTAGATGGTGCCCAGGGATTGCTTCCAAGTTCCCTAGTACTGTAGTTCCTGTGCCTGCAGTTTTGCTTCGCAAAGTCCGCTAGCATTCCCCGCCGGTCACTCCAGGTCAACTGGCTATTGAGTGCAGAATAGAAGTCCGCTGGTGGTTTCATATTGTTATTCCCTGTATGTGGGGCTTCTTCTAGTTCTCCTATTTCCGACCGCGAGAGAGACGAGAGACAGAGAGAGGGAGACGAGAGAGAGAGAGAGAGCAAGAGAGAGAGAGAGAGCAAGAGAGAGAGACAGAGAGACAGAGAGACAGAGAGACAGAGAGACAGAGAGACAGAGAGACAGAGAGACAGAGAGACAGAGAGACAGAGAGACAGAGAGACAGAGAGACAGAGAGACAGAGAGACAGAGAGACAGAGACACAGAGACACAGAGACACAGAGACACAGAGAGACAGAGACAGTCGAAGGAACCTTTCCAAGTCCGTTGGACTTCCGGAGTGGGGTTCGACCAAGCTATTCGGTTTAAGACACCTACCTGTTTGCACTGCATCGCAGGTCGTATTCTGCACATGCCGGCCGTGCACCATCTAAGCAGAGCTTTTGCAGCCGGGGCCTCCGCCCCAGCAGATGAGCCCGAAGGTCGGGAATATCGCACTTTCGGGCCACAAGCTCTCGTCAGTCTCGTCAACATTGAGTATTGCGGTAAAGGCTGAGATGCAAGCGATCGTCCAGAGGTAGAGCAGCGCGGCGCAAGAAAGCGGCACCAGAAGCATGCCAGGATGTGCTAGTACCACCCTGCTGACGGTGTTCATGAGGCTCGCCTGGAGAGCCAACCACGGCCTTGCAAGATGCCGTACATGCAGGGAGATGCAGATGTTGCAGAGGGAGCAGATCGTCAGCACCGCGCCGAAGAGGAAGTAAAGCGCGCGACAGCAATCCCGCAGAATGCCGTCGTTGATACTTTCCCTGTAATATTTATTGGGGGTGAAGGAGTTCCACGGATAGATCATGCACAACAGCCCAGTGATCAGCCTCAAAGCTGGCAACAGGACGGTGCAATGAAAGAGTACTTGCTCTCCTCCAGACCGCAGAAGCTGCAAAACCACCATTGCACAAAGGAAACCTCCAACAGAGCTGAAAGTCACGACTGAGAGGAAGATGTTCCAGCTCACCTCAAGTGACTCACATTGTGAGGTGAGCCGTGTTTTTCAGCGCAAACTGTCAGATTGTCTGATCGGAGCAACTGGCCAAGCGGCGTTATCTTCCGCCGTCTTGGTATTGGCAAGCCGTCGCCCCAGGACAGAATCTCCGACTTTCCTGGATGCGCTGCACGGAAGAGGAAGAGACCTGGACCTAACCCTTCTGAAGAATTTGCGCTGGACCCCTCTCTCCCCAGCCATTCTCTTACCTTGAAGACCCTCCGAGAGGTTGGTGAAAATGCAACAGTCAGCCGACAATTTGGGAGTTTTGGTCCTTGTCTGTGTTGGCTTGACTTCTGGGGCGGGTTGCCGTGCCTAAGGGGAAGTATTGCCAATCGCTGCCTGCTTCCGACCGCGACTTACAAAATAGCCATAATAGGAACCCAGAACCAAAAAAAGTAGTAAAGTATAGTACACAAAAAAATCCTCCAAGTCCGAGTCTCGGTCTCAGCCACTCTGGAAACGAAGCCGCGAGCAGTGTGTCCGCCGGGTCAGCATTCGGTTTGGACAAGTAAGCGCCCAAACCAACGAACAGCCTTGGTCCACAGATGCAAACTATATGTCATCAAGATAAATTATACAATTTCTTTCTAATTCGCATTTCCTGCCCTTCAGAGAACAACCCCGCAAAGTGGTGCCAAGGCGCAGGAAACTGCCAAAGAAAGCCACAGTGCCAAGCGCCTTAGAAGGGTTTCTCTTCAACTGGGAAGCTACCATCGACTACTCGTGGTACAAACTAATCGTGCATTATGAGGAGTACATCTTTAAGTGACATAACCTGGTCTAGTTGCATCACGGTGGACGCGCCGCGGAGGAAAAAGCTCAAGCTCCTCCTTTAGAACGACTCCGCGCCTCACGAGATCGTACCTTCGCTGTGCCACTCCTGGGCTGAATCAAAAACTTGGCTGCTAAAACTCATGAACCGACAATGAAAAGCTAGTTGGAGATACCCAGGCATGAATACAGAATGCACTACAGCATCATGAAAGCGCGCAGTACGCATGCGGTGCTTGAATGCGGAGCTAGCTTAAGTTTTGCTCCTGCATCGTGGTGCGACTGATGCTAACGGCCATGGCTAAACTCCATGTGTGGAGTGCTTTGCAGACCTTGGGCGGCCTAGCTGGCTCTCATCAACTGTCAACACATATAGATCATTGCTGTTTTCTGCAAGCACACCTTAGATGTTTAAGCTCGCTGAAGGTTACTCAGAGGGCTGTCGAAGGTCTTTGGCACAGGGTCAAGGGCGAAACCTTTAGACAATTTTGAAAGACATGAACTGCGGCACAGCTGCTTTCTGGCAATCCTGCACCAGGGTCACACAAGTATAGTCACGCAATGACCAGTGGAGTGCTGCTATCTTGGGTGTGTTGGTGCTTCATGGCCTCTTAGGCTGGGCAGCGAAGCGATATCGGCGTGTTCCGGCGGACAGCGGATCGCATCGTCCTCAGCTGGCAGAAAGCGCAAGCCCCAAGCACCTGAATTGCAGCATAAACACCAATGTCTCGGCTTTTTTCCGCATGGCAAGAATGCTAGAGGCTGCATTTTTGCCCTCCTGCACCCAAGCCACCAGCATGGCCTTCGCTGTAGTGCTGGGATCTGATTACATACCGTGGATCTGGCTTTTTAGACGTGCAACTCTGCCTAGGCATCTGACTATCTATGCTCACATGCGGCTTGCCAGCTGTGTATGCCATCGGCCATCAGGTCTGGATGTCTTGAAGTCGATGCGGGCTCGAGGGACATGGCTGCATGCACAGCACCTCTTGAATTCAGGTCTTGCCCGGCTCCGGCTGCGCTTTGGCACTGTAGCAGGAGCAGGGCGACCTCCTGCAGCTGGGAGATGGTCCAGCCATGACCTCGGATGAGCCAAGAAACAATATGACACAATGGAGGCAAGGCTCGGGGCCCGAGCAGAAGCGGCTCTCTGTGATGGCCAAGTCCTGATTGCGTTGTGGGTTCTTTGTTGAGATCTCCTTCGCTTCCGCGCTTTCAGTCACAGCTAGCCGCTAGCACTGGTGTATGGAAATTCGCAATGGGAATGAGTGTAGTCCTCAACAGTGGCATGTCTTCTCAACGACTCCTGCACCAGGGCAAAGCAGCGAGACTCGGCACCCGGCAAAGTTGTGACAATTCTTAAGGACCTTCTTCAGCTCCACAGGACACCCAAAACTCTCAAGGGAGAACACGCTCCTCATTTCTAGAGTCCATCGGTTAAGAGTTCAGAGCTTATAGAGGATATTCCATCCGCAGAAACGCATGGACCGCACACACCCGCGGTTTTGATTTGTCCTGCTGTCTCCTTCAGCGTTCTTGGCAGGGCCCGGACAAGGAAGTTTTAAAATGTTAAACCCCAGACGGCCCTAGACGCTAAACCCTAAACCCTAAACACAGCTCAGGGTTCGGAACATTCCTCACCACGGCTTCCCCAACTTTGAAAACTTTGGGTCATCGGGTGTGCTGAGTAGCCAGGTTTTCAAGGCTTGCACGACAGTGTGCGTCAAAGTCGTCTCGTCTACTACTTGCACACGAATAGCTGAGACTCTACTTGGAGAAGTTGTCACTCGGGAACAATCTTAATTGGAGGACGCTGGACGCCTAACGGAAAACCACACCGGGCGGCATCTGAACCAAGAGAATAAGAACGGCGGTGTTCTATTGGGAGAACACGAAGCAAGTTACAAGGGTCATTTGGATGACTGGCATATGACTTTACTCCACATTTGCTCCATCGTGGATGCTGGGTGCGGGCCGAAATGCAAACCGCCCAGGGCCGTAACCGAAACTGCGTAAGAGGAGGACGAAGACTGTAACACCAACCAGGGGCAATGCCATCGGGTTTCGGGTTGTTCAGGGCTAACCCTAACCCCCAAACAGCCGTAAAAACCCCAAACCCTGAACCCTAAACCCTAGAGCCCGAAACCCTAAACCCTAGATACCAAGAGGAGAACTTCTCAAGAAAACCAGAGTACGGCACGAGCAGCAGTAGCAGTCACACACCCGGGCTGTTAGAATGGCCAATTGTCGCTACAGACCTCCATGATTTACTGTGACGGCTGGCAGCTTTTCCTGCTACGGAGTTTTCTCCGTGGATGCCCATGACTCATGCTCGTTCGAGCTGCGCCAGCACTTTCCGAAGGTTTTTCCCTTACTAACGACTCCTAAGGCTCTTAAGGCCAGCAAAAGCAGCCCTGCCTGGCATCTGCGCCTTGTACGTGGGTGCCTGCAGAGAAGGCAGGAGTACTTCACGGTTGGAATGTGAAGTATCGCAGCCAAAGCCAGGGTCGTAACCAAACCTGCATGTCTGAGAGGCTGCGAGCCTTTTGCAGCATGCTGCAGACACCAATCCGCCAGCGCAGATGTATCGGTGAGCAGTGCCCTGGCAGCTGTTGCTGCAAAGCATCACTTGAAACTCAGCTAAGTTGCGCTGACAACATCCCAGCTGCATTCAAGCAACAGTACAGCACATCCTAATTATGACGGTCAGGATGCCTTTAAAGGCCCAAGTGCTCGTTCAAGCGGAACGTGCAGCGAGGTTCGGCCGCACTGGGCCCACCTGAGTATACCATCTATGGCCTAAACAACATAAACCGACACAGCTTCAACCTCTCTTAACATCTTTTGACTGTCCTAACTGTCCTAACTAACTCCTACAGTAACGGCACCAGCATGCGCCAAGCTGCTCAACAGGCCGCAAGGAACTTGCCAAAGCATGACGTGATCCAAAAGCAAGTGCCATCGCCCAAGCGCCCGGTTTTTCTGCGACGCTCTACAAGAGACAGAGTTTCTTTTTCCCCCCGGAGCCATGTGTACGATGCACAAGCTGCAAACATCTGTAAACTGCAAACCATGACCATCAGCTATAAACCCGAAGCCATGCAAAGAGCAGGGTAGTTAGGGTTTAGGGTTTAAGGATGTTTAAGGCTTAGGGGTTTCGGGGTTTTGGGGTTTGGGGGTTTAGGGGTTTCAGGGTTTAGGGGTTTAGGGCAGCATGTGAAGCACATCTCGATGGAGGCTCGACCGGGGCATGGCTGCAGCCATCCGCAAGCATCCACTCGCTAGCTGCTCACCAAACAGACATTGTTGGCTGCCCTCAACCCTCAACCCCCAACCCTAAACCCTTTTCCCTGTATTAGGGTTCGCTCGGAAGCCGCTCTCGGCAGCTTGGCATCGGCATGGTTCGGCATGATTGGTAAAGCGAGCCCTTTTTTTGTTTGTCTTGCGCTCTTTCCCTTGCGACCTTGGCGAAGATTCTTTGAGAGCATGAGTGAAACTCCGAGCATTATGCGGCAGGTCAATCACGACCCAATCTCACTCCGAGTCCAACTCAGACTTGCCGATGGCGCTGCGGTCGGCAGCCTGTCGCAAGCCCACAATGCATGCCGTATCGCGTAAAGGAGCGGCACGAGCACTCGGAAAACTGTGGTTACGAATATCAGAGGTGCAAACGGCTTTCCGATCAAGCATCAGCTGCTTGTTTTCATGCGGCCGTGCTTCCCCTTTGGGATCTTCAAAGCACAGCAGAGTTTGGCCAGCAACACTGTCTATACGCGTGTCCTGTGACAAGAGATATGTCACTTGCCTGACAAAGAACGCCGATGAGACAGGATTCTCTGACAACTGCAGCACCTGTAGAAAACAACAGCGTATTTGTACGCCGATGTCGTCACAAAAGGCAGGACATTTAAAACTATGCCTGCAGTACCTGTCCTGCAGGTGTGTTACAAGAGTTGAAATCCTTCAATGAGAATGAGGAGTCTGTACAACCGGCAGGTACAAGGGCACCGTGCATATCAACGAGACATGAGCCTTTTGCTCATGGCTCATACCGCACGTAAGTACTGGTGGATTTGTACATCATGTCGATCTGCTTCGCGAAGGCCTTCTCCACAACAGGCCTCTTCAGCTTTTTCGTGGGCGTTAGGAAGCCCTGCTCCTCCGAGAAATTCGTTGGGAGTATCATGAACTTCTGGACTTTGAAGGCATTGTTGGGACATACCTTGCCGTTGTTGTTCGCGGATGCGACAGCAAGAGTTATCTGCTCAATCCAGAACCGATCCTCCATAGCTTGGGAGATCGTCGTCACTTGTGGATTCACTCGAGCAGCCCCTGCATCCAACTGGTCTGTACCTGGAGTCTCACCGTTGGCACCAACTGCCTTTAATGTCACCAGAGCCACGTTGAACTTCCGCTTGTCCCCAATCAGCATGACTTCGTTGATGCCATCGCACCATCCCTTGATGTGGTCTTCGATTGGGACCGGTGCTATGTTCTCACCACCTTCGCCAATGATCAGCTCCTTGTAGCGTCCAGTGATCTTGACCATCCCGGTCTGTGTGATCATGCCTTTGTCGCCAGAATGCAGCCATCCTTCCGCATCAATCGCATCTGCAGTTTTGCGCTCCACCTGACAAAAAGCAAGACACCCTGCTCTGGTTCACGGCACTTGTGACAAAGCCACGAGAGGGGACTAAACGGACAGCAAGGACGTAAACGAGCACAGTACCAGGCATTTACTCTGCACTGACCTTTCTTGGCCCAGCCTAGCCTCCTGCACATGTTCTGCACCCAAGTCCGGCTGCGCCAAGTAGCCCATCATGATGCTACGGCCTCGGAAACACAACTCCCCCTGAAATTCTTCGTCAATTTGTTCCAGAGACACCGCCCGGGGACATTCCTCCTTCTTGTTCATGTCTGCAGCATCCACTTTGAATGCCTTAACCTCCACGCCCGGCAGCTGAAAGCCGCAAGACCCCCACAAATGAGCCCTGTCCGTCGAAATTGTGCACGCAGCACAGCTCTCGGACATGCCATAAACCTCATTGATGTTGATACCCAGGGACCCGAAGTACTCCAGCGTATCCACCCGGATCGGTGCGGCTCCAGTAAAGGCAAACTTGAGCTCATGGAGGCCAAGGATGCGCTTCACCTTCTTCAGCACCTTGTTGGCCGCGCCATATCCAAAGGGCTCCAAGCCATCGCCTGCAAAAAGGAGAGAGATGGAGAGGAAGTAATTACATGAAACAATATGAAACATGAAACGCGGTCCCCATATCGGTCCCAGAGCAGAAGTGCCTCCCAGCAAACAAGCTTTGGAGTGCTGGAGGCCCTGGGCCTTGGCGAAGGGATGTGAAGGTCTCTCATGGTATTGGGCTCCAGCGCTCTGTGCTACCGAGGTGCTAACGTTAAAAGATTGGGGGGGGGGGGGGGGGGCATAGCTCGCTGTGTAAGTCCGTGGCCTTGGCCCAGGTAGCGAGCTTCTTCTTCACGCCAGTGGTAGTCGCGCCCACAGCACGCAGCCTGCACTCTGGCGAGGCGAAAGGGAAAATGAAGAAAATGGAGGATCTCTGCTGCCCTTGCCCTGAATTGCCTGATAAGACCTCAAGGCAAGATAAACAGTTGCGTTGCAGGCCTGTCTGCGATCTTCTCCCACACAAGCGGCACGCCAAGGAACACCGTAGGCCTTGCCACGTTCAGCCTGTCTTTTAGGCCTCCAGCTTTCAGGTCGTATGGTCTTGCAAAGTATGCCGTCACCCATGCCGGTGATGAGGCGGTGGCCACAAAGGGAAAGCAAACATCCACCATCTTTCCCGCCACGTGCGACAGAGGAAGATAGGAGAGGATGCGCTCCTGCTGTGCCGAACCGCAAAGGCCCACGTGCGACCGAGTTATGTTTACGAAGGCCACCGCTTCGAAAATCATTGCATCGTGCGATAGCATGACTGCCTTGGGCTCCCCAGTCGTACCAGATGTATACACAAGAACGGCGCAGTGCCCGGGTTGCACAGCTTTGCTGCGTACATCAATAATGGCATCATCTTCGCTGGAGCCAGCCGCCATCATCGCTGACCAGCTGAGCACAGGTACCTGGAGGTTACTGCCGGGAATTTGGACACTTTCGCCTGGTGCCGGCTCGTAACCGTAGGCCACGAAGGCCCGCACCTTGCAAGGACGTGGGTCTTGGCGCGCTGCCAAGGCGGGAAGGAGCCGAGCAAGCTTTGCTTGGTCCTCAAGAACAACAATGCTGGCGCCACTGTGCACTACTTTGAAAGCAGCAGTCTGCGGTGTGTCTGTCGGGTAGAGGCCTCCAACTTTACCACCGGCGAATCCCGCAGCAAGAGCACTGAGCATCCACTCTGGGGCATTAAAGCCCCAGATGGCCACTGTATCAAACTGCTCGAATCCGAGCTTGACGAAGGCCTTGGCAGCCTTGCGGGCATCTTCATAGTACTGTCGATAAGTCCAGGTCGCCCACTCCGCCTCGGGGAGCGCCGGAGGGGGTCCTGAGTCCTGTAACGCAGGGCAAGGCTTCTCGGCTTTCAGAGCCGGCCGGTCCCCCTTCTCCTCAGCAGCCTTTTTCAGAAGGTCTTGAAGTGTCTGTGGTGGGCAATCTCTGGCACTCGCTGCGCCACTGTTTGCCAACCGGGGCAGAATCAGCCCCTCGGGCTTGCAGGTGTACCATGGGCCCGCACCTTCATAGGCAAAATAGTCCTCTGTACTGGTAGATACGGGAGCTACGGCCAATACCTTCTGGGCACTGGCAGCGCACCCCATGCTGCGATCTCTCCCTAGCCCAGTTTAAGCCGCACACAGCTGCCAGCAAGTGCGGTGTTACAAGCTTCTGCGCAAAGCGTGGATTGTACAGCCTTGCGCTGAACTTGCATCAGAGCCTGAGACAGATGAGTTAGAAGCCCAAAAGGACGACTTGCCAAGGCCTAGAAGGAGTCAATGATGGCTGGCTCGGAGATGGGCATCTGCACTATCGCCTTACGGGCCACATGCGGGCATGAAGCAAACCAAGAGAAGCTGGACATTGTCTTTGTATCTCTCTGTCTCAGCACAGGTAAGCCACAGAAGGTCACGTGTTTGCCTGGTGTCCGCCAAGCAGAAGACATGAGTCATGAAGCTGGCCCGAGTATGAGTGAGTGGCTGAAATCAATGGTACCGTCCCCCGCGCACTCGCAAGAAAAATGCGGACCTTGGCTTCCAGCCACAAAAACGCTGCAGGCCTCACCGCACTGCCTGTGCAAGCAACTTGGGATTGCGCCGCCGCGGTTCCGCCATTTTCATTGACGCAGGTCAGGGGAACCTCGACCAAGTAGACCTGAGATATGGAGGACTCCGCTACGCACGCTTTGTTAAATTGTGAGGCATAGGTGCGCCTGCTGAGGCACCAGGACTGGCAGGAAGAAGCTAGGCCTCGTTCTCAGGGGCTGCAAACGCAAACTTCCCAGCACCGTGCATGATGAAAGTGCGGGCCTCGGTATGCGGTACAGATTCTGATTGGTCGTGCAGTGAACCGGCACGTCATAGAGTGCGGTGGCACCTGTCATGTCTTGTAAAGCTTCTCTCTTCCGGCATTCTTGGAAGACCCATACCACTGACGCCAAACATGCATCCTTACGCTTGATCTCAATTTAGCAGAAGCTTGCACAGGCCGAGGGCACCAGCGTTCTGAATCCGAACCAGAATCTTGAACTGAGGGCCCATGCCTGCGAAAAGGAAACGCAAGGGCGGCCGTGATCAAGTCATGATCCGGGCTATTGATGCGCAGGTGTTGAATGGTGTTGATCCACCGTGGACAGTGGCATGTGCATTTCAAGATGATTAGCAGCATCATAAGACCTTGTTGCTAGACTCCTAGATGCTCGCACCTTTATGTGCACGCCGCTACACTTCTCACAGCTCGTGACAACTTGTTTTCGCAGAGGTTTGCAGCCCATGTGCCTAGTACCTGGGCATTTATGCGAACCTGGGCGCCAGCGGCTGTGGACCTCCAGCATATGAAGCCACATTCTTCTCAGCGGTGGACTCGCACAATTCGCAAGCCAACTCCGCAAGACATGCTGCAGTACAGATTTGAGGTCGGTGCATCGGCCCATGGCCAGTTCCCAACAAGTTCACATACCTGCACCGCACAGTTGATGCCACAATCCAAAGGCCAAGGTTTTGATCCAGAGGTCGAAAACGAAGGTGCTGCCATTCTCCCAAAGCCCAAAGCTAGCTTAGCTTCATCACATTCAGCTGGTGGATCATTGGAATTCCAGGGTTGGAATTGAAACGAGGAAGGGGGTGCTGATGACTCTGTCTATGAGAACGAACTGGTGCTTGTTGCTCGACGCGGCTGCAGAGCACTTAGCTTTTCTGTCGATCGTTGACCGAAACTCCTTTATTCCAAATGAGCTTCTTGGCCAGAAAACAAATCGCGGAACTTTCGCGGACCCATCGCCGTACCGGTTCCTGTTCTCAGTTTTTAATCCAACTTTCAAGCGCCGGATCGGCTATCCAAACGAATCCGAAATCAAAAGGCGGACAGTGTAAGTAAGGTTTAGGGTTCAGCCCAAAAAATGTCTGGGTGATGAGATACCTTGCAATTCCTGGAATGCGACAGCGGATCGGTGCCGTATGTAAGAGCTTTGTGGCCCAGTAAACAAACCGGGCCGCAGACACTAATCCTGAACCATGTAGGCCTTCGCCTAAATCCGTGACGATCCGTAAGTCCGGATCGTCTATAATGAGCACTGCCCTTGGAATGGCCACCTTGACTTATGCGCGACTTGCACGGAACTTATGCGCATTTTCTCGAGAGCCGGGAATACGTAGGTCCGAACTTGGGTTGCGTAAGAACCTTCGCGAAAAAAAACACTTCCGCAGTGCCCTCGCGGATCTTTCGCAGAAGGCTATTCGGGGTCACTGCCTACTAGCTTTCCCCACAAGGACGCTTAAATCAACACTCAAATTGCCATCAGCACGAAGCTGATCTCAGCTGTCGCACGCGCGGGCGGTGGAAAGCCGGAGCCTGCAGGCACAGCATGACTCCGGCTGCTTTCCACCTTTTCCCCTGGATTCTCACACATACTTGCAGTTGCCTCTGCAGATACTTTCACTGAGTTTGGCACTTGCATAAGTCCCGCTGAAAGGTCCTGCAACCATCAGTCCAGTATCAGAATCATCTTCAGAAGGTGCAGGAGACGCATGGCTGCATGTCTGGGGGCCGTTTCCATGAATGTCTTGTAGCTCCTGTGCATGTCAATGGCTTGCTCCCTTTCTCTGCTGGTCTGCTCCACATACCTTCGCTGAGACCACGGTTGTTCAATAGATGGCTCCAGCAAGAGTCTGGTTTGATAATCCACGTCTCAAGCTTGATCTGCACTAGGCGCGGGGCAACTTGGTCTTCTTTGGCACATCCAAAGGTATGTCCTGACAACGCTTAGACTAAAAATTAACTTTAACCCTCGACAGCAGAACGCAAGGGGCCCAGATCATCACTCTAGCGAGGGCACCTGCTCGGGTGGCGGACCAACCGTCACAGAGGTGCCGTCCAAGTTGGCATTGCGCTGCAAGATTTTGACCTCACGCAAGCCGCATTCGGCTTTGGTGCACCGATCGTGCGCAGCCAAGTCTGCGGAATTCCACTTTCGCAACACCATCTAAGTCTGGGTCCATGAGTGCTCCAGATTTGAAGCTAAGGACCTTGCAATGCAGGCTCAATTCCAACGGCTGAGCGTCTGCGAAGCGGCTGTGAGCATTCACACTACAAGCAGCTGATGACATACTCAGGCTTGGACCATCGAGCCCTCCTCGCGGCCAAACGTGCCCAGCTTGATGCCGGTAACTACATCGTTCCTGGTACGATCGTGTCCGTAGTGCCACAATTCCATTGGTCCAAAACCGAACCTATAGCCAGTTCAAATCAGGACCACTCATCTCAGGACTCTGACGTTTCCACCGTGGCGATAAGGTGCTTGCCGTTGTAGAGCCGCACCTTTTGGACTTGCAGCGATCGAGACGCATGCTTAGGCACTGGCAAGAGGCAGCCTCGCCATTTTGCAGGGCTACCACGAGAGCCTCACCACATGTGCAGCAGTAGAGGGCCACTCAGGAAGAGAAAGAAACACAATTCGCAAACATCACCCTGAGCTTGATGGAAGTGGAGATTTCGAAGAAAAGCTCATCTGGGAGCCCCGTTCTGCATTTCCAAAAGCCCCCAAGTGCTGCCTCTGCGATACTGCACTGTACAGTTTAAGATGTTTAATTTAAAATCTTAGTCATCGTGTCTTTGCGGGCACTCACTGCCCCTGCGAAAGGGGCTTCTGACTAAATCCCAAAATCCTTGACCCTGCTGGTCTGGTGTGCGGATAGCACACCCGCCCGACACCCCTACCCCTTGTCCCCGAGTGGGAGCCCAATCTGGGACGCCAGCATGCTGCATGCACATACAAAGAGTCATGCCAGGTGAGTCACAAGCTGAAGGGGGTGGCCTTTGCCACACGCGACTTGGTGATTTGCAAGAGGGACATGCAAGATATGGGACAAGGCCTCGCAGAGATTCGCAGGAGTCTTCAGCAACAAGTGTAGCGCTGTGTTTCCCCGATGCCGAGGGCCGCGGCAAATAAATCGAGTGATTCTTTTTGCCCTTGAAGTGAAAGCAGTGAATGACCTCGACTTTTCAGGCAGAGAGAGCTGCTTGCAACACGCGGCTGTTTCCTTGCACATGTACTCAGGGCATCCTGCGTTGTCCATGCAGCCGACGTAGACATTTTTGTCCTCCAACAACCAGCGCTGCGCGGCACAACCAAACGTGACGCAGGTTGCGGATCGCTGGGGAGTCTTGGGACAGCACAAATCGGACCAGGCCGACTGGCTGCGTTTCCAACTCAATGACGTTGCTCAGCACCTCTCCACGGCTCTTGAACTTTGTCTCAACTCTGCAATTGCTCATCACGCCTGTCCATTCTTGACGGTGTAGATGTTGCCATCTCGACAAGCTACAGTTATCCTGCAGCTTGTGAAGCAATCCTGATTCCAAGCCCAGCTCACAGCAGTGAAGGTGCCTGTATTCCACGTCGAACAGTCCCAGCACTGATATGAATGTGGGCACGGCTTCTAGCTTCACCTCAGCGAAGGCACTCTGTGCTGTGGATGTGCAAGCAGTGCTGGCCGCATCGAATGCGCGGCTGACCTTGGCAGCAATCTCCAGGGCAGAACTATTCAGGATGTAGATCATCCTGGCTTGCAGGCTTTCAAACGTTGAGCCAATCTGGTTGCAGGAACTTGTTCAGTCCTATTCTCCGTGCCAATCACCAGCATGCTGACCTCTCGCGATGGGACGACAATATGAAATGCCAGGAAAAAGCCTGCTCTTAGTTTCGCGCCGCGGTCTGCTCATCCATATTCTGTTTCAAGACCTGAACCGAGGACTCGACATGAGTCGACATGGTTGACATAGTTGCAACTTATCATATTCTAGATCCACGAGGACTTCAACCGTTTAAGTGTGAGCTCTGCGGAGGAGTAAAACAAACAACGCACAACCACATGGCCTCCATGCACGTTATTGCCGTCTGTTGCTGGAGAAGATGATCCTCGAAACGGTCGAGAACATGTGCAATATGTAACAAAGCAGTAGCAGCAACGCAGCGACGAACGCAACAACGGCAACGACGATCACATCAACATCACCAACAACAATTCGATGTGAGCAAACACTGAGCGAGCAGGCTCTGCTCCTAGCGAGCCATCATTCACCACCATGCGCATCAAAGATGACGTTGAGCAACGCAGCTGTTAGCATGACATGAGCCGGCCTTTCACTACCGAGCATCGACGCTGGAGCTGAGTTGCGTCAGGGTCTTGCCCGCCATGCCAGTTCCACATTAAGGGAGGGGGCGTTTTGAACTCCCGTCTGTGACTCACCGGACCACGTGTCTGGTCGAGCCGTCACCGTTCTAGCCGTCACCGTGTGTGCGTGTCTAGTGGCCACAGTACGTAGCACCCAGACCGCGACAGAGGGCCGAAGGTTCAGACCGGTTCGGAAAGGAGCATCTTGCATACAGTCAGACTGTGACAGGCAACCTCAGCGTGACCGGGCAGGGACCCCGCTGCCCAGCAGCCCAGCGGCAGGTTGGCGCTGCTTGACGAAGAACCGTCGTAGCGCGTGCAGATGCAAAGACTGGCAGTGTGAGCCTTGGCATGGATTGATGGAGACCTGCGCCTTGCTGTAGAGGCAAGTCTGGCCACCTGGGTGAGTGGATAGCTTTCCCAGACGCGGCAACTCGCCTAAACTCCCCGCTAAGGGTGAGTTGCGGGGTGATTTGTAGCCACACATGTAGTTTCTGCGCCTGTTCCGAGTTTGGCAAGCTACAGTGACCGCTGTGTGGCGGCCTATGTGAAAACGCCTGCAATCAAATCCAAAGGCCGCCAGACAACGGCATGATGCCACCGAGGCAGTCGCTGTAGAGCAGAAAGATGACCCCATATGCTGCTGCAGCAGCAGCAGCAGCAAAAAGCCACAGCAACAACAAAAACAACAACACCAACGCATCAGCTGACAGTTGACAGCAACAGCAGCTATAGCAGCATAAGCAGCAATAGTAGCAACAGCAGCAGCAACAGCAGCGATGACGACACCGACACCTATGCTTCTCTCTCTGCTGAGGGCCCAACAACAATAACAGCAACAACAGATACGCAAAAAAAGACAGACGTGCAACAAAGAGCGTTGCGTGCTGCCACTGCCGCGTCCTCATTCGGCCTGCATGCACGGACATACTCCGTCTGCGACTCGAGGTCCTAGACAGCAGCGGCAGCATGGAAACCCCAAACCCCAAAAAAAGGAACCCTAAACCCTCAACCCTAAACCCTCAACCCTAAGCCCTGACTGAACCCTAAACCCTAAACCCTAAAGGTACACATCTACGGCTTCCTGGGCTGCAAACTCAATAGAAACCAGACAAGCCCAAATTGCAGGTTTCCCATCTGCAAACACAAGCTCATCCTTTCAAACATCGGCCACAAACTCAACACCTCCTCCATGATTTTGCGATCACCAGTATAGTACAGTATGCACGGTATCACTGACATGATCACCCCGGCTACCAGCTACCACGTAAAAACGAAAAAATTGCCGGATCTGCAATGTTGCAACGAGACATGAGCAAGGTGGGCTGCAAAAAAAGACAAGAAACCATCTGGATCAGGTGCCTCGACAGCTAGGAAGTCAATGGACTGGTTGGACAAAGCCGTTCCGTTTTCGCCTTGCAAAGATATAAGATATTGAAATATGTTCTATGTATTTCTATTATATATTATACTATATTTATGCTGAATATACATATATAGTCGTATATCATATTGTACATGTTACATACATTACATCATATATATATATATGTATGTATATATATATATATTAATATACATGGAATGTACAGTCTAGGCAGTTGCAGAGGCCAAGCGCGAGACGGGCCGCGTTCAACCTGTCGAAGCCCGCTTGGATGTCAGCCCCATCCTGGGTTAGGTCCTCTGCAGAGTGCGGGGGGCAAAAAGGTCACTTGAAGAGCTTGGGTAAAAACATCAGAATGATGATCATAGTAATGATAATGATAATGGTCATCATCACCATAATGATAATAACAAAGACGGCCAACTATAAGGCTGGGGATCGCCTTCCAGATGTCTCTCTCGACCGGATCGATCTCCAGAGGTGGCAGCCTGTACCTCAATGACGAACAAAAACCAGCAGGTGACGGTTTAGGGTTTAGGGTTTAGGGTTTAGGGTTTAGGGTTTAGGGTTTAGGGTTTAGGGTTTAGGGTTTAGGGTTTAGGGTTTAGGTTTAGTTTAGGTTTAGGGTTTAGGGTTTAGGGTTTAGGGTTTAGGGTTTAGGGTTTAGGGTTTAGGGTTTAGGGTTTAGGGTTTAGGGTTTAGGGTTTAGGGTTTAGGGTTTAGGGTGTAGGGTGTAGGGTGTAGGGTTTAGGGTTTAGGGTTTAGGGTTTAGTTTAGGGTTTAGTTTTTAGGGGCAAGTATCGACACTGGTCAAAAAGAGCCTCCTTCTGAGGCTCGTGCTGCATCGAAGGCCGCATGTTCCGAAAGATTAAGACCTGAAGGGCAGCAGCGCACGGAACATACAACAAGAATCAGCAACAAAGCGACATCCTACGGAACCTCCCAAAACAACATTGAGCCACTTTCGGTGTCTGGGGTGTCTGAGGCCCTAAACCTGCTTAGCATGTTTACGTATTAGAACATCAGAACGATCAGAGCAGTAAAAGGTATAACAGCAACAATAGCAGCAACAACAATAACAACAAGTACTCTACCTGTTCTGAAGCCCTTTCTCTGTGGAGCGGGCCCGGTGCCCACTGGCGACGGCCAGGGTTGGTATGGGTGGATGCCCGGCCTGTCGGATCGAGTCGAGAGTCGGTGACGTGCGATTTTTGTGCTACAAGGCTTCATACTTAGGGGCTTGTAGGCTTACCTAACTGCCCTACCTCTAGAACATGTAGAAAGTGCAACTTTCTAGCCTAGTATTCACCAACCGTGCACGCTACCTCGGAGGTGGGCATGGCATGGCTGTGTTGCACCTTCCCAAGCCTCCCAATTTGAAGCCTTGGCCGTGTCGAAAAAATTGCGGGAAAGGATCCTGTTTCGCAACTCGCCGAAAAGATTTGCACGGGGCCATGAGATGCCAAGGTCCTAGTGGCCCACCGAAACGCATCAAAATGCCGCGAGCGAATGCCGCAATGCACAGGAGCCAGATATCGTTTGGCAGACGGACAGTTGCTTGTTCCCAAGAGGTACAAAAGCCCTGAACCCTACAACCGAGGACGTGGACTTTGGTCAAAGGGGGAGCTGCCGGAGCCGATACAAGTTGGCTGGAGCCTTCTTGGAAGCTTATAGTGCGGAGTTGCCCCAAGAGGAAATTCGGGAAAGTCTGCAGGAAGTGCCCCCCTTGTCAGTGGTTCTGTTAGGAGCTTCCCGGCTTCGCACGAGCAAATCCAAAAAAGTCTTGCAGGCTTCACCGGTTAAGGGTCATGTTGACAGTGCTCTTTTGTGGATGGCTCCAGCACGTGCGGAGGCTCCTTCACTGCCCCGTGGCGCTTCGCTCATGTCTCGGCACACTTGCCCCTGGCATGCCCCTGCTGCCACGGCTCCGAGGACTTTGGGGGACTTCGAGCTGCAAAGATACCAAGAGGCTTACGAAGATCATGCAAGGTCTCTGCATGACATGCAAAACGTGCCTCGTGGTAGAAGGACTGAACAGCACAAGGTACGTCAGGCAGCTTGTGCTCCCATTGGATGGTTGTTCCCTGGACAGGGAAAAGAGGTCTCAACTGATCTTTAAGTGCATTCTGCAAGCAAAAGATGCCAACCAGATGCACCTTAGATTCGTTTCCCCACACCACGTGGCCAGCCCACCTTGTACATGCGGATACGCTTCTTCATGTCGACCTGTGCATGCGGATTTCAGCACCGCGTGAGACTGCCATCAGTCCTTCTCAGTTCGGTACCATCACAAGGCGGTGATCGCCATCTGCAGCAAGGTCTGAAAGACATAGAAACGACCTGCACCGTGCATGGCCGGACCATAACCACAGACACTGAGAGCTGGAGAAAGAAGCAGGACTTGAGCCAGCTGCGAGTAGCAGCTCATTCCGGCCACAGGGTCGTACCAGGCCTCAGCAAAGCATGGCAGTCTAGAGCCTCGTCATCAGTGAGCTCGACCCCAAGGACACTGAGAGCAGAACATCCAACCACGGGCTTTTCTTCTTCTCCGGCTCATTGGCAACCTGAGAGCAGCTGTTGGCCGCGCTGGCTCCAGGCGCACTAACATGCCCGGGGCTTCAGCGGCGCCCTTGGCCTCTGCAGATCCTCACCATCGCTTCTTGGGCTCGGCTTCTATACCTACTCGTACCCGCTTGTATTTCTTCAAGGCATGGACGCGATGAGTATTCTGCGATCCACCACACACACTGCTTGCGCTGCAAGTCAGATAGACTGGTCGTGAAGAGCCGCACAGACATTCACTGTTTAGCTCGACCTGCGGCATCCCACGCGTCTCCTGCCCCATCTGCCATGTCCCAGACCAGGCCGACCGGGCCTGAGGCAGTCAAGAACAAAAACCAAAAACTTCTACCTCCAGGGTTGTTTACGTAAGTTTCCAGTGGCTCATGCACTGCTACTGGGGAGGCGAGACTGGCAACACCATCAAACTGGTAGAAATGCACGATAAAAGTGCTGATGGAAGCAGAAAGTTCATGTGCCCAATACATCGTCTGCCGAAGCATGACAGGCAAGTCTTGGATGCTGAGCGCCACTGCGTCTTGCCAAGTCAGCAAGTGCTTAGCACAGGCAGTGGCCAGCTGGCCTATTTGCAACACTCATGGACGCCGACGACGTCTTCGGCCCAACTGAGAAAGTGATACCAAGAGTCGATGCACATTTCACACAGGGGCCTCGTGAGATTCGGAGAATCGCAAGGGCACACGTGGCGTAGCGCTTCCAGCCATCAAATTGCCCAGTAGTTACTCTGCAAGTGCCCCTAAGTAGTGCAAACAGACCAGCTTGCTTCTAACATGCTCTTCATGTGCTGTGGCGTTGTTGTGTCGGTTGGCTCGATCTGGCACACGGCAACAGCCCGTCAAGGCTAGTAGGACGCTGGTGCACACCTGCTACATGGTCAGCACAACAAATCTCAGCCTGGGCAGTGTGCAGAAGCATGTTGGGCGGCTTTAACTGCAGGCTCATCTGCCGGCTTCATCTAGTCCCTGCCTCCCTGCACTGTACACGACTCCTGTACACGCCCGAGCAATGGGGCCAGCAAGAAAACAGAGCATCAACAAGCATCCGTTTAAAATGTGAATTCGGGGTTGTCGCCCCTTAGGACTTCCTGACATGTTTCAAAGCAAAGCTGGAGTCGCACAAGCTAAGGTGGCGAATTTCACCGCACATATGACAAGTATGCAGTAGAAATGCTGTGCATTGTGCATCTTCCAGCAACGCTGCTAGCATGTCGGACTTGAGTTTCTATAGACTGGCGGTGAAACTACGTTCACTGTGTTCATAAGCTCACAACCTAGACAAGGTCCATTGGTGCAGTTCTCATGCCAAGGCTGCAGTTTACATTAGCCGCATGCAGCCGAGCCGAACACAAAACACGAAGTTACAAGGCGACGAGGCGACAAGAAGAGAACTTGGCTCGGAAAAAGCTCGGTGCCCTGCGGTGTCACGTGGTGATGGCTCATGCAAAATTTCGGAAGCCTTCAAGGCAATGGAAAAAACAAGTAGCAGACTATTGTGTATTTGAGTGTGGTGACGAAGAGCTCTGAACCATATTGAATCAACCTGCGCACCTCTTCAATCGCAAAGATGGGCAGTGGACTCCTCACGGTACTTTGACTGGCACAGCACCCAGATCCCATCTCTTGCACGGCTCTCGGGCTTCAAAGCCTCAGACTCTTGCATGACATGCTGTGCGCCTCTGTATGCCCACATGCTGGGTCATGCTTCTCGTGGTGCCCATCCCACCCCCCCCTCCCCCAGCCTACACTCATGCTTGCCACGACGCACCCTTCCCCTGTCGGTCACCTGTCACCGCTTGGTGAGCATCCAGAACCATCCTGCAAGGGCGGTTGATGATTACCATACAAGGCACCATAAAGAGAATTGAACCAAGTCCACCAAGCGCACCTCCGACAAGCCATCTCCGGATCCCTGTGTGCCATTGGAGGTCTCAGTGGAGAGTGATGAGCTTGCTGACGATGATGGTGTGTCCCTCAGCAAGCTCATCTTCAGAAAGGGTATGGTCTAGTCATGACGAGGCAAAGGTCTCTAGCAAACTTCTACAGGGCCTCGATGTCTGAGGCTCCAGGCACAATGGGCAAGAAAGGGTTGAAAATGTGCAGGACCTACATCCGCTTGTTTCAGAGCCATTGCTACAGTTCACTTAGGACAGGCTACTTAGGCCTCCAAGCGAGGAGGTGCTGCCGTCTCGGACCTGGGCATCCGGCTTCAGCCTTGCTGCCTCATGCGGCATTTCTCCTTGAGGCGACTGCGGCACCTCCAAATCAGGTGGTGGCCCTTCCGATGGTGCCCTCAGTCTGGCAAAGTTCGTCTTTGACAGCAACACGATGCACGAGACCCCACTACCTCTCAGTTGAGAGTGGGACGAATAAGTTTGTGGGCGCGGATGCTGGACGCCTTGTTGCGAATCAGGCATGTGCCGTTCGCCATCAACTCGTTGGGCAGCAAAGGCATGGGCGGCCACCCATCGCCGGAAGCAGCGGAACGGCGGAATACCCTGCGAGACTCAAACCCTTCATCACTTCACAGGAAGCAGTCGCACCAAACGAGGTCAGGAAGACGTGGCTTGTACATTGACAAGTGACAGATCGCAAAACTGTGGATCTCTGAGGAAGCATCCGTTTTGGGTTTGCATACTTGTAACCGACATCTTCGCCCAAAGTTAACAAACAGCAGCTGCCAATTGTGATGCTATGCAATGCTGCTCGGAAGTTGCAATTCCACGCAGCCATACGGCCGTCCTCGAGGACGCGGAGTGCCCTCAGGCTGCCGTCTCTGACCGGCGTGTCGGCGCGGGACATTTGAAGCCTTGTGCCAAATTTCTAGCTGCGATTCTAGCTGCCCTTGTGGGTTAGCACATGGCCACAGACCTGCTGAAAAGCATGTGTTGAGCTCAACCCCGCCTAAACCCGCAAGCCCTTACTTTGTAGATCGAAGAAGCACACGCACATGACTCTTCCATACCGGAACGGTGCCTCAACGGTTGGTGCCGAATGCAGATCGTGTCCTTGCCAAGGATATTCGACAAACACACACGTGAGTGCCTGCGGATGCCTGCGGATGCCTGCAGTTCTGGCGCAGTTGCAACTGGCATCTGACCCAAGTACCGAGCCTCCGGGATCCAAGCCGAACGTCTCGTTCAATAGATCCCCGAGGCCACCATCAGCTGCGAACTGCCGGAAGTGCTATGGCAGAATCGGCGAAGCAACACTACTGCATCCAAAGCCTTATTTGAAAACGCATCAGTTTTTGAGGCAAAGAAGAGGAAGCAGCTAAGGCGCGGGGCGGAAAATGATTCTTGGATGGCTCTTGTTTTTGGGAGAAGTTTCGTCTTGGCTTTTTGCTACTGCGACGACCGCTGCTGCTCCTACGACGACCACGACTACGACTACGACTACGACTACCACTACCACTACCACAACAACTAGTACTACTAGTACTACTACTGGTAATCTAGTACTACTACGAGTACTACTACGAGTACTACTACTATTGGCACGAGTACTACTCGAGTACTAGTACTAGTACTAGTACTAGTACTAGTACTAGTACTAGTACTAGTACTAGTACTAGTACTAGTACTAGTACTACTACTACTACTACTACTACTACTACTACCACTACCTACACTACACTACTACTACTACTACTACTACTACTACTACTACTACTACTACTACTACTACTACTACTACTACTACTACTACTACTACTACTACTACTACTACTACTACTACTACTACTACTACTACTACTACTACTACTACTACTACTACTACTACTACCTACAACTACTACTACTACTACGACGACGACTACTAGTACTACTACTAGTACTACTGCTAGTACTACTACTAGACCTACTACTACTTAGTAGTACAAGTACTACTACTAGTACTACGAGTACCGTTAGTACTGCTAGTGCTGCTCGTATACTAGTACTGCTGATACTACGAGTACGACGAGTACAACTAGTACAACCAGTACAGCTAGTACAACTAGTACTACTCATGTACTTCAAGCAGCGCTTGCACTGTGGACACCATTCATATACGCTTTCCGTGGATGACATATTTTGCAGGCTTGTGGGTGTACTTGGCATGGGCCTCTGCACGATGGGTGCCACTCTCTTGTGCAACCACTGGGCCAACATAGGCCAACTTCATCCGATTTCATCCGCAAAGCCCGGATCAGCCGAGCAGCATCTGTGCTCCGCAAGCACCACGCTGATGATGCGGCATTTGCTTCCCCCTTTTACACCCTCGAACGAGCTTTCGAGCCATGCTCGACGTCGTGTTAGAAAACGTCGCTGTGTATCAATCTCTGTGTGTGTGTGTTTCTGTCTGTCTCTGTCTGTCTCTGTCTGTCTCTGTCTGTCTCTGTCTGTCTCTGTCTGTCTCTGTCTGTCTCTATCTGTCTCTGTCTGTCTCTGTCTGTCTCTGTCTGTCTCTGTCTGTCTCTGTCTGTCTCTGTCTGTCTCTGTCTGTCTCTGTCTGTCTCTGTCTGTCTCTGTCTGTTTCTGTCTGTCTCTGCCTGTCTCTGTCTGTCTCTGTCTGTCTCTGTCTGTCTCTGTCTGTCCGTGTCTGTCTGTCTGTGTCTGTCTGTCCGTGTCTGTCTGTCTGTGTCTGTCTGTCTGTGTCTGTCTGTCTGTGTCTGTCTGTCTGTCTCTGTCTGTCTGTCTGTGTGGGTGTGTGTCTGTGTGTGGGTGGGTGGGTGGGTGTGTCCTTGTGCATTCGCAACCCCTTTCAACTAAACCTGGTCTGCAAACAGGTTCGTGAAGAACGTCTTTGCATCGCAGTTTCGCCCCCTTCCTAACGGCAAACATGCAGCATCCAGAAACCTCGCAAACAACAGTGTTTCAAGCTCCTTCATGCACGAAAACGTGGCTTCAACTATCAAACGCGCGCTGGCAACGGCGACGGCGACGGCGACGAAGATTCTTCTGCTTGTGCAACTACTGTCTCTACTACTTTACCAGACTAGACTAGATTAGACTAACTATACCACGCTACACTACACCTCTACTTGTAAGTAGTAGAAGTAGAAAAGTAGTACTTGTAGTACCACTCTTCTTGTCTTGTCGTCCTGATTCCACTAGACTCGTTGTCGGATGTAAGTTAAAATGCCCCACCCCCTTCTGTCTTGCCATCAGGATTCTATCACTAAGTCATTGTGGGAAGCCTCCCCCTTCTTGTCATCATCATTCGAGAAAAATCTCAATTTGTGAAGCATCTCCAAGGCAAGCAACCACGTGCCGGCCTCCTCACAGGTCACAGAGTTGGGATCAGCGTGTCCTTGCCTCAGCTACGAAAAGTAGCAGCTCCACTTGTCACCACACCCTGTGAAGCTCAATTGCTTTTGCTGCAAGTGCATTCACCTCTGTTTCTTGGGGGAAGGAGGAGCCACAAATACACGAGCGTTTAGATCCTAGAGTGCCCTAGCGATTTAAGTCTTGTGTCGGTTGCGTGGCGCAGTCCCTCATAGGTCCAGACACGGCCAGTTGGTTCGAGTACCTGCGACTGCGCTATGCTATCCAGCAATGAAGAATAGCCATGAGTTCATGGCTATGGACCGCGTCGGCACTGGTCATGCAGCACTTCAATGATTCCACGCTCCATTTACGCAGCACGGTTGAGGGCACCAAAGATTCCACACCCTGTCGACTCTTGATTGCCTCTGCAGGTTGCTCTAAGCACTCTAAGACTTCATCAGTGCAGTTCTACGACTGGGTCGCAGACAATTCTTGCAACTTCGCCCTGCAGGAGCACAGCACGGAGTGCAGATAAACGAGTGCTGAACTGTGGGAACGCATCGCGGATACTCAGTCCACATTCAATTCCGGATTTGGAAATGTGAAAAGGCATTCGGAAGCTGGGAAAACGCGATTCGGGAAAGCACGCACGCGAATTCGGGAAACTGGAACCGGTTGCCAGAAACTGGGAGCATGGATTCGGACATCGCAAAGTCGAAAAGGATGCGGTTTTCGTGTCCCGGCTTCGCGCAAGAGAGAGAGAGAGAGAGAGATGGATAGCCCCGCTTTCAAAAAGCTTTCACAAGACATGGACCCGCAAGTGGCCGAAGTTATCCTGAGAACGATGTGTAAGTAAGCAGAAATGCGACAAGAAAGTTTAATGAGTCTGTGTCTGACCGCAGGTGCATGAGACTCAGCACGACAACCAAGTATCAATGAGCCACAAAGGAGGATTAGGATTGCCGTGCGATCGCGCGCCTTTCCATGGAGCTCACCCGAAAAGAGCGGAGAATCGCTCGCAGCACCTGCGAGCACGCGAAGGTAACAGCTGACGCCAATGACACCGTAACACTCTTCAGGGGCTGAGGGCAGCGAAAGTGAGCAACAAGCCGCGAGCAAGGCCAAACGGCGAGCCTAACACATCGACCGCCCCTCAAAAGTCATCTCAACATCCTAGTCCTAGTTTCAAACAAGACCGACCCCTGCCATGAGACAACATGCTAGTCACACCGATTGTTCTGGATTGGAACCGGATTCGTGCCGGTCACTGGCATGTGCTGGTGTATGGCTGTGTTAGGTTGCATTCTCATGGCATGCCAGTGCCTCGGCTCGCGAAAGTCTGCCGCTCTCTGATAAATTCCAATACCTTGCGCTTTGTCAGAACTTGCCAACCCATCTTGATTCTTGAGCCGACAGCTGAGAGCCAGACTTGAACCATGCCTTGAGAACTCAATAGCATCAAAGCTTCAAGTATATAATTGAGGTGCGACATCTGAGACCGCTGGCCCTTCGCTCTTCAAGGTCAGGGGGCGGCCCAAGCTTCATGCATCGGAGGTGCTCCTACACGGAGCGTACACCGCAATGTCCAAATAAGCAGCCGATGACTTCACCGGTGACTTCACATCAGCGTCAGGCCGCCTGCACGTTCCGCCAAACCCAGACCTTGGCCAGCGCGGGCAGGTTATGTAAGAAGAGCCAGCAGTACTGCGCGATACGAGACATTTGCCAAGCATGGCCGACACAGCTGCTGCATGCTGCTGCGTCCTAACGAAGCCAAGCTTGCAGCAAAAAGCTCATGGGTCAGGAAGTCGGATGCGCTTACCTGACGCACAGAGGGCATGATCTCAGATACTCGACCGTGGCGGATCCACATGGCAAATGTCTGCCGAAATATCGCAGCGTCCATGCTTGGCTGTATGGCGAGAAAACACAGACGTGGTCGTTCGTAAGCCGCAGACCTCCTGGCTTAGCTCTCCGCCCATGCTGCCCGCCTGCGCTTCACCAAGGTTGTGCACTCAGACGGCAAAGTTGTGACATCCAACACCTCACCTCAATGGCATCTGCCTCGACGGGAAGAATGGAAGAAATCCTCATTGCAAAGTTATGGGATCCAGGCGTGCTGGCCCAGGGGTCCAAAAGGCATGCAGAGTGGGATGCAAAGATCTGAGGGCCAAACGTTCGAAGCAACATTGATTTGGCCTCAATGTCTGGCAGGGTGAAGCAAAATGTCCACAGAGGCCAACTCATGTCCATGCGTGCATCTCAGGGAATGACAACTTTGCCGTTGACACTGACTGTGTCAGAAGTCCCCGCCAAGAATTCGAACCAACGCAGCGGGTCCTGTGAACGTTGCATGGGAGGAGCGCTTGGCTGCGCAGGTCAGGCACTGGCGAATCTCTTGACAAGCTTGAAGATGTGGACTTCCCTCTCATCGAAACCTTCAAAGACCTCTCTGACATCGCAGTCCTCGCTAAGCGAGGGCAGCTGCTTCATGGTTGTGGCGTGCCGCCTACATTCGGGGCACCTGGTGAGCAACTTTGCACTTCTCTATGAAATTCCCATACAGCTGCTACAGCTGCCTGTGTTCAAGATACAGGGAACTTACAAGTAGCACGCTGCAACACCGCACAGTCGACTCAGATGCGCTCTCTTCGCCTCAAGGCTTCCCCCTGCGTGTTGGTAGAGGACGCGTATCCCCGCCTGTCTCTGGTACTCTGCTCGCAGTTTCAGATCACATCCCAAAACAACAGGAAAATCGCAACTCAGCCCTCCAAACTGCCGGCTTGCCGCTTGAAATCATGTCAGGGTGGCGCACAGTTGCTGCACAGAAGGTGAAGGCATACTGCAGCGTCAACTGAATCAACAAAGGCTGCGGGTGTAGACCTGCCAGCGACTTCTGCCACAGAAGCTGGCGGATACATGGAAGTTGCGTCAGTGAGGGTGTGGAATGTGCGCAACTCATCGCGGCAACGGGGTTGACAATGAGCCAGAAGTGACCAACGTCCGCAAGTGGTATCTGAAAACAATACCAGCAACAGACACAAACGATGGCCTGCAAAGCGGCTCCAAGCAAATGGGGCATTCCACACCTAAGCTCCGTGCTCTTGCACGAAGAAGACTGCAAAAGCTTGCAATGCTCGCTGTCTCAAGCTTAGCTTTGCTATGGTGTTGCTCTAAACTGCTCTTGCCGCTCGTGCTGCATGGATCATTCCAGAGGACCCCATCGCCATCCGCGCAACACCACGCCGTCCAAGGCAAGCACCCCCACGACCGCGTGGAAGGACGCAGGGATCTGCGAGGAACTCCTAAGAAATTGAGGTACCGCACAATACAAAGATGTGCAAAATGGCGTGAAGGGTCCACAGACAAGGAATCACACACACACACACACACACACACAAAAAAAAACGCTGAATGTGTCCTCTGCCTCAGATGCCCCTAGGTAATGCATGAAGGAGTCCAGTAGAAGCCTGGAAACTTCACGAGCCACGTGGACCCCTCCTCTTACACAACTTGTGCACTGCAGACACTGACACTCTCTTCGGTGCCTCTTCTGGGCTCTTAAGGAGTGATCTCGTTCAGTATAGTGGCGGGTGATTTTCTTGACCTCCACCTGGTAACCGGTAGTACTTCTATTAGAACTCTTGGCTAGACTATAGACGATCAGGATTTGTTCAGTTTTTAGCGACCCCGTTTCGAGTTTGGGGTCACAGCCCTACCTGAAAACACTTGCCGCGAACTCCGAAACCCTCAGCCATGTGTTCATGCCTCCCATGGCCCTTCCTAGCTGCCTTTGTGCCATTTTGCTGACGTAAGGATGACGTTTGGGAGCGGTACTCATGGCATCAATCTCGAGGCCTGCCCGGGCCCCACATCCCGTCAACCCAACATACATGTGTATGTATATATATATATGTATAGACATATGTTTACACATATATATAAACCTATACATAACGGATGTATATATACATGTACATGCAACTCTCGTCAATCTGTAACATGATCTCGTTTGTTGTTCGGCCCCGGTCTCGTTACCGAGAGAGAGTGCCACCCCAACAAAAAAAAAAAAACGCACATCCACCTTTACTCCTCTCGCCGCCTCGCCAGTAGATAAAAGCGATTGCTCATATGACACTTCCAAAACCACCACGCAGTCAGCTTCGCCTGTACTGGTTGTATCCAGCTTGAATCTGAACAATCGCGCACCTTCCAGGCGGTGCATCCATGTCTGCTGGAAATTAAATACAACAAGTACCATGTCTTAAATGCTTTACACATGTGTCCTCTGTCTCCCATCATCAACAAGCAATGGCATATGGGTTTGCAGATCATTCCAGCGCCTCAAGGACTCCGGGCTCAGCCAGTAAGGCTTCAGCCCAGGCCGGGCCTGCTGCACTATCCTGCATTTGAAGCAGGAACTTGCCGTCAGCAACACATTCTCGAAGTCTGCAAGGGTCTTTCTTGGCATTTGTCACCTCCTAGGCTGAAGTGTACTTCAATCGAACCGCCATGTCCTCTCGGCAACTCGCCGCCAGGCGAGAGACCCGGCCTAGGTGTCAAGGATGCCGTGATCTAGTGCCGGCCAGGCCATGCGAGGTCTCAGGCCCCAACTCGCTGAAGCGCTGCCATGAGAAAGCACTTCCCGTCGATTCGCGCCAGAACTGTGACAGCGATTGACAGCGTATGGCATAGTATAAAGAAGTGCATAGAGAGCCTCACACAGGTCCCTTGCGCAAGTTCCGTGAGCTGCACAAGGCTGCCTCGCAAGGCGAGGAGGGGCAAGTCTGCTTCGAAGCAGTAGCCCAGTAGCTCCTTGCAGTCACGCTGAAGAGGGCGAGAGGGAGAGGGACGGGACAGAGCGAGAGCTGCACAGCTCAGTAGCCGCCTCTGCCATGCTCTCTGGTATGGGAAGACCTGTCACACTACTTCGTGCATGTGTGCACCGCAAAATCCGCAAACATCTGTTGAACCTCAATGTTTCGGCAGGCCTCGTGATAGTGCTCCGGCGGCGATATCTGGCAGGCCTTTGCCTGACGCTGACTCTGCACAGCAGTGCCCGACGTGAACAGAGTCGCGGTTTGTCAGGGCCTTCCGCGGAACGTGCGACCTCGGCCCAAGCTGTCTTGTCGCCCCTCAAGATCCTGGAACGGTGGAAGCATCAAGCAAAGGGCACCAACTTGTGAATGGCGCACTGGGCCTTAGCCGTAGTCCGGCATCAAGGCCACCGAGCATCCCACACGGATCCTGCAATCTTTGGCTTCCATTCGCAAAGTCTAGCCTGCAAGTCCGTTTACTGGCCTCTTTGAGGATTGCCGCTGTGTAGGGCGAGAGCCCGTCATCAGCCAAGGCACGGGGATCTGCCTGAGCCGCTGTCGCGATAAGCTGCTGATTGGTCCTCTTGGAGTATCTTTTGGGATCGGGATCGGGGATCACACGCCCAGGTCGAGAGTCAGCTTTGCTGCCATCCTCGGGCCGCTTTCCTGCAGAGCAACGACTTGAATTCGAACGCCCTGCCTGGCCCTACCTTCCAATGGATCCCTGGTTATTCCTGTGGCACCCAAAACTGGCACCTCCATCTCTGCTGCGAAGCGCGCGCACGCGGCAGGGTCCTGGCTGGCTTTTTTTTTATCGCATTGCGTCGGTCTCCCGTATCACTAGCTGACAGACCTGCTGACAAAAGAGTCGGGCACACACAAGCACCGGAGGCAACTTTCCCGGCAATGATGCCAGCAGCCGCGATCAAGGCAAACCTTGCAAGTTGCCCCGTTCGCTCTAAACGCACTGATGGTAACATGTCTGAGCATCGAGCGAAAGCGGATTGCGAAGTTGACTGTGACCGAACGCTGCAACCTCCCAACTCTCGGAGCTTCTCGGACTTCAGGGGAGGGAGACACATCGGGAAAGAACATGAAAGCCGTGAAAGTGCAAGAAGAACCACTGCGGTACATGAGGACTGCCACAAGGATCCTCGCTTGAGACCTGGGGAGGCCTTTAACCGGACCGCCCCGGTGCGGGAGACACAGCTTACTGTTGGAAAGAAGGGAATGAGGGAATAAGGGCCCTGTATACAGTATGCACCCTTTAAGGGATTACATAGGGCCCTTACTCCCTCATTCCCTGCTAACCAACAGTAAGACAAGTTGCGCTCCAGCCTCGCCAGGCGCAACCAAGCGCAGCGTCAGGGACGCGTCGTGGCCCCCATCGACCACGAGCCGAGCCTCAGCGCCAGTGGATCAGGAGATGCAATGGGACGGCAAGCCACAGAGTGCTAGTATGATATCCGATTTATTTAGCCATAAGAATTTCTTCAGCTGGTCTACCCGAGTTGATGATGATTGTCAACAGAATAAATTTCTACAAGCTTTTCATTCAACATCAATTTGCGGGTTACTGTATCTTCACCTGCTCATCTGACCTTCTGGATCCTTTACGCATAAGTTCCGGTGAGCAAGAGACATGTTTTGGAAGACCTGAACACATGTATAGCAGTCAAGTCAGATCTCAGTTGGTTTATACTGATTGACTCTTGCTTTCTCTTTGCTCTCAGGATAACCCAGACTGGAACTCTTCTTCATTGAGCTCGTTTCGCAGATGTTGTCATCTTGCGGCAGGATTAACTTATAGTCTTCATACTTGCGTCCTGGCCGAAACCCAAACTCTTCCCAGTGTCCCTCTACAGAAGAACCCACTTTTGTCTCCGACCATCTCTGCCATGCCTCAAGCTGTCCCTCCAAGCCTCCAACGCGCCCCTCGGTGCCTGGAAAAGTTGAAAGCGGATCCACTTCGAGCTTTCCATCGCACTCCTGGGGGCAGACCGTCAGGTTGCAGGCAAAACTGGGGATCTCCTTGGCTGGAGCCTGTGGCTTGCTCCAGATGCATCCGGTCCATGGCGGCTCTGTCCAGGAGGCCATGGGTGTCCTGCGATGTTTCTTTTCGCGCTCGCTCGGGTCGCAGCATGTGACGCGCTAGTCTCGGCACTTGTCGGAGTCCTGGACAGCACGTCGCTCGGAGCATGAAAGCCTCTTGACCTCACATGCCCCGTGCACAATGCAGATCATGCAAAACCATGCAACAGTTAAACTTAACGACTCAAACGTCCCCAGCCTGGGTACGCCAATCGAGATCTGCCCGCTGAACCAGAAAGTGTTGATGCAAACCTGCATGCACAGTGTCCCAAGTTGTTTGATCCTCACCTGACGTGCTCGGCATGATCGGACACAAATATCGCCAGGCTCGCTGTCTTGATGTGCAGGCTCCACCAGTACTGCCTCGACACCAGTGCGTTATCAGTAGCCTCTGGTGCGCCATAACATCACCATAACATCTGGGCATCCGCACCTGGTCTTGCCAAGAATGACCCTCAAGGTGCTGCCTTCAAGTGCCTGCCCACAAGCAAAGCAAAGCAAAGTAAAACGACCAGCGCACAGATCCTGCAGGCTCTCAACAGATCTCTACAGCACGGGGCAGAGCTCGAAGAAACAAGTCGATGGAAAGAGTAGTAACCTTTTCTAGAGCAGCGTCTGATCCGGAACTGGCAAGTGCATGACTGATGTCGATTCTTTTCGCCTCTGTGGCAGCGAAGAAGAGTACAATTTCAAGGCTTTGCCGGGCGCAGATGCCAGAAGGCACTTATCAAACGTGCACGGTGTCAGTGGTGGAATGCTTCGCATGCCATCTGCTCCGGCAGAGGAACCCCGAAAACAGTAATTTTGCAAGATCCTCTCAAGAAAAGTGTGCGAACGCGAGTTCGAAGAACGAGGTCAATGAAACCTACATGCCGACCCAAACTCCTCGGAGCATATACAGGAAGTTCTGTCGACAATAACGGCCTCAAATCATGGAGAAATCCCGGAATCTTGGAGGTTGAGCCGAGCAAATCTGGAAAATGAAGGTGAGCAAATCGCAGGTTTTGGGATTGTGGGCATTTCAGGTGAGCAAACATCTAAGTGTTTCAGAGGCCCAGGTACTCATGAGCGGACCTGATGGAAAATAATCTTAATCGCCCAAGTGAAAAACCCGTGCATAACGTAGCTATTGTGACTAGCATAGTTGCAGGCAAGATACATTAATGAAACTACTTGCATGATTAACCGAACAAGTGTTGTCCAATTTTTGAGCTAGGACTACAATTATGAACGACACAGCTGCTTTTCAATAGCAAAACATAAGAATTTAAGTGACTTCCAATTAAATTCATCAACCTAATCCGAGCATTCACATTTTTAGCTGCGTAGAGCAAGAACCGATTTAGTAAGGGTATAGGGTCCCATTTTGTTCACTTGATATCAATCAAACGAGTATTACAAAATCAAGACAAGGCCATTTGTCCCCGGCCATTCACATGATGTAGTTTCGAAAAATCAGCCGAAAGCCAATTATGTCAAATTACCTGAACTATTGAGATGTTTCCTTGGGATGGCAGAGTTTTTGCTTGATACCCAAGATGTTAACCAAGCAAGTTCGAATGGAGCACCTGACATCGAATTTACAAAGCGTATAGTCCTTTAAATTCTGCTCGCACAACAAATGGAAGAACTTGGAGATTACTTGTTTCAATGAGAAGGTTTGTTAAATGAAAGCATTCTGAGATTATTTGCTTCAATGAGAATATTTGTAAGACCCTAACTACAAGAGAATATGGCTTTTGACTTCTCCACTTAGGTCTGGGCACTCTTGAATGAGATGCGCATCCAATGCTCTCGATTCATAAAAGACACTCTGAAATGAGATGTCACTCAAAAAAGGTGCGAACACACAGAAGACAAAAGCACGATGATGATATGTGAGGGAGTTGTTTACTGTATCATGCGATGAGTGCAGGCAGCACCCCTGGGCAGAAAACCGCAAACCCTGGGCACCAGTCCTCAAAATCAAAAGCCACAACAACTTGTTTAAAAAATCTGCGCACCCCTACTCCTGGGTCATGTCTGGGGCACTAGTCCGGTTGTCTTGCGTGTTTGAGCTCCACGGCTCGAGGCCGCCATAGTCTCCGGAAGCTCTGTGCAAGTAAGTACAAAAATGAATTTATGTGTGTTCAAAGTTGAAATTGTGGGGTGTGGTTTTTGGGAGTTAGCACATGTTTGTAAACTTGTGTATTTATTTAATGATTTGTTTATTTATATTCTTATTTAGATGCACAATCATTTCTGTTAGGCTGTATCATATTTGATTGAACTATACCCAAAAGATGTATGTTACACAAAAACTATGATATGAATGAGTTCGGACAGACCGGAATGTGGTTGCCCCGACGGAATGGGTCCCATTGAGAGAAACCGCTGCTTGTGACATCTGAAGCAACCAAAGTTAAAAGCTATTTGGACTTGTTGAAGCTAATTTGCACCATGGTTGTAATTGACCATGATATCGACAGCGGCATCTTCTTCAGTGTGGCTGCAATGCCGCACTGGGCTAGGCGTCTGAACATGTTGCATCACATTGCAGGCTAACTAGTAAGCACATTGCTGGGGTTTGTTCTCTCCCTTTTCACGCCGACGCCTCAGGCACTGCATTGCCGTGCAAGTTTGGCTGAGGCTCTTTGTTGCATGGTACCACGTCCCTGGTAGTTTCAGCAGACTCTGACTTCCTGTAACAATCTCGTGTGGCCCTGCTTATCTGGAAAATCATTGGCAACTCCAGAGCTGGGTCCATGCGTCTGTTCTGAAGCCTTGCGCCTTGCGCTCAGGACGGGGTGAGTTTCGAAAGTGCAGTCGTGGCATCCTGGCGTGGGCAATGTGCTGGAGTGATTAGGTGCAGTGTCACGTGAGTTCCCACCAAACAGAAAAGCTGGCCCACCAGCGCAAGTGTCACAAGCTACAAGTGGCTGCAGCTTCCACGGCAAATGACGGCCAAATGACAGCGATGCAGATTCATTTTTTCTGTCGCGGCCTCAATGCGTGCACGCTTAGGATCAGGCTCTGCAACGAAGGAAGCCAGATCCACCCCTAAGGTTAAAGCCTTGCAGAGCTCAAAACGCTCTTCAAGATCCTTCTTCTGCCGAGCTGCTTCGTTCCAAAACTCTTCGACATCTTGCAAACTTAAGCCTTGCTGGCCATGCCCGGATTGCAGGTTGTGCTGATTCGTAGCCCAAGCAGCATGAATGCCAATCTTACGAAGTACCTCGTCTTTATACTCCTTTGTCGTCCTTTCGCAGCCCTGTGCCAGCTTCAGGCCGTCTTCAAAGGTCAGCAGCTGCAAGGCAAAGCCAGAATTCGGCCAGACCCGCCACCTGATGGCAGCAAGTCGTCTAAAGGCCTCGAGCACGGACACCTTCAACTCCCGTACCAGGCAAGCAACTGCCACCGTGGCACTGCGAGAAGCCCCTTGCCGGCAGGCGATCAAGGTTACTGCAGGAGCAGATGCCACGAAGTCGATGGCCGCTGTAAGTAGAGAGCCCAAGTCTTCACCTGCACTATCCCTTACCGGCACGATGTGCAAATCAGAGGCAGAGATACCTGCGAGGGGCAGTGCCGTTGTTAGTGCAGATACATGGGCATCGCGGTCAGGCTTCCCGCAACAAACAACTCGCTTGATCTCATGCGATTGAAGGATGTTTGCAATGGTGCTGGCTGACAGCTCGCCAAGCCCAGATAGCCTTAAACCACAGCCTATGTCATCGACCTCAGCATGGGGAGGCAGCCGAAGCTTGTCGGAAAACAGCTCCAACTCAGCAGCACTCTTGCCAAGCAACGCCTGCTTGCACTTCGCAAAAGCCTCCTCAAGGGGAAGATCGCAAGAACATTTGTCCCACATACTCTCAGCCTCCGCAAGGCTTGCAGGCACTCCATTATGCCACGCTGTTGCCCACGCTGCGTGAGCACCGATGCGACGCTGCACGTGGAGGTGCTGCTTGCTGTCCTTCTCGGTTGTAGTGGCCACAGCTTCCAGAGAGAGAGACACCAAGGAGTGGACGAGCAGCGCGCTCGGCCAAACTCTCCATCTTGAACTGGCGACGAGCTCAAACGCACTCGCCAGATCCGCTCCACCTCTCAGCAAATATGCCAGCACCACAGCGACACTTCGAGAGGCACCTTTACTGCATGCGACAAGTACCGCGCTCAATTCATCGTCCAAAGCTTCTTGTATGAAAGCCACGGCTTTGTCCAAGATACCGCATATGTCTGACACATCATCTGGAACAAGGGGAGCTATGTGAAGCTCTGTGTTGCCACCAACCAATGCTTCCTTGGCCGCTGCTATATGTGCATCTTGGCCAGATCGCCCACAAAGTACCAGATGGGTCACAGCATGCGTCTGCAATGCCAGACCAATAGCTTCAGGGCTCAACCCGCCCACTCCGCCGAGCAGCAGCCGGTCCTGACATGACCAGCAGCTGCATGTCGGACTGCAAAGAAGACGAAAGACTTTTGAAGCCAAACATTGCTCAAGTATGCATCAATGTGATGCCGGCCGAGGAGCCTGAACTTCTGTAACTTGTGGGCAAGGTCCTGGGCTGCCGTTGGTGGAAGCCGCGGTCGTGTCCATGGCCTTGACCCCCCTCTCCGCGCCAAAGGGGTTGGGCGGTTGGGCGGTTGGGCTCGGGTGTGGGGCTGGATATGTAATAAGATGCTTGATGATACAAAAACTCTGAACCGAAACAAGCCAGGTGTTCAAGGCTGGGTTTGGGCCTGAGTTTGGACTCCAATCCCTTTTGCCCATTCTCCGGCACGGTGCTGCAAAGCTTCTTTCCGTGGCTGGTGCATGTTGTGGCATGGTATGTTGTGCATGTGAGACAGGGCACTGGGCGCCTGCTTTAAGTGTTGAGCTTCTGAGCACTACATCAGCGCCTAGTCGGTTAGATCCAGCTTAAGAAATGGATACGCCCAGCGGTCAGACAGTGTCACCACTTGTCAGACCTGCCATCAGGAAACACGAAAACACGAAAGGCGACGGATTTGCTCGTCGTAGTGCTGAACAGCTTGGGCTCTTGCTGGCCAAGCCTATTGAAAAACAGGAGACCAAGACTACTTGCAATGCGAAGCTACGCAAGTGAAAGTGCAGCCCTTTGTCCCTGGACGTCTGCCAGGCCAATGGGCAAGACTGCACCATTCTCGCCGATTCTAGCCACTCTAAAGAGAAGTCCCGGGGTGTGCACGCTGTAGTCTTTCCTGCTCGTCATTGTTAAACTAAGCAACGACCGGCTGTGCTGCAAGGCTTGAACTTGCCGGAGCAGGTAGCGCTCCAGAATTGTTGTGACTAGAAGTTGTCACATGGAAACACGCCAGGAAGCTTCCTTCTGGAGGCTTTCCTGTCTAAATCTGCGTTGGCAGGGAGCCTGTCTAGTAAATGCCGAGATGTTGCTTCCAGCTGTTTTCGAGTTAACAGCGAGCCTGGGACATTGATTTGCACAAGACAGGCTCAGAAAACATTCCTAAAGGACTCA